ATGAACTATCTTGCTCTTTTGATATAATGCTCTTATTTGAATGGTACATCTTTAAACCTAATAAACAGTGATCAGTTAATCCTATATCAAATATTACACTATTGAATATATTTAAATTGGCATGTCTGATAAAAATATGATCAACAAGCGTTTTAGAAGTGTTGGTAGTTCTAGTTGGATTATGTACAACAGATATAAAACCATGATTATTTAACAAGCTCTGTACATTATTTTGACTAGAATTTAATAAATTAATATTCACATCTCCTATAAAAATAGTATTATTTTTCAAATCAATTAATTTATCAGATAATTCATTTATAAAAAGTAATTTCATAGTACATTAACAATCTATAAATACTAAAAACACTAAAAAATGTGTTTTTTTAAATTATTACCTGCATAACCATAATATCAGCTGTAATCATTTCAATATTAATTTGTAATACATTGGCCTCTTCATTTACATAACAAATTACACCTCCAGCTCTGTAAGTGTCATTGCAACGAGCAAAACTATTAAATCCAGGTATTTTATATAGATTAACCTCATCATCTTTGGATCCAAATTTGGCTAAGAACAATACAATGAATTTTGCTCTTGATACTGTTTAATTCTAAGTGTGCAACAAGTGTACATTTACAGTTAAGTGTACAAAAACACTATAGGTATATCTAGTAGCCGACATAAATAACTGTTTATTTTAAGTATGTTTCAATAAAATTTGGTCGTACAGTGGATTTCAAAATGTCACAAAAATGTTACGTAACAAGTTGTTTACAATAATAAGCCTATTGATCATTGGTATTAGCGTTTTCAGTAAATGTGAAATATTGAACAATCAAGTTTTGTAGTGATAATAATCTGTGTAGCCTATATAAATTATCTGTGGAAATAAAAATTTTTATTACAAACCATAGACATTTGATCGCTGAAATAATAACAACTCTGTAATGTAAAAGTTTGCAATTAAACCAAAATAAATAATAATATACACTTATAAGTGCTTCTCGCAGAGAATTTTTCTCCCCTCTAGTCATTGAAACCGGTTGTTCGACTTTTACGCTCACCAATTAAAGCAGATCAAAATATGTAATAAACAAAATTACATAATTTTTTTTGGGATTTAGCATACGGCAATAGTTTTATGCCAATTACAACCCCCACATGTAATTAGTTTACTTAGAATGCCTCAATACTTCGGGGATTCAGTTTTGGTGGGAGAGGGCTAAGTAAAATAATCAGTATTTGATCGGAACTATTTTTTCCTATCGAGTAATCTTCAGTGTAATATTTGCTCAATAGTTACAACTGATGTTTTTCCCTTTGTACTGATATTTCTAATTTGCTGGTATACTGTGGATGGCTTGTTATAACCACGTGTGACAAGTCTTTTGTTTACCTTTTCCTTGTTCGATATAATTTCCAAAGACCAAGATTAGAAAATCTGCAGTGATCGTGGAAGCCTATCTTCTCGATTAAGGTTTTTGTTTCACTTAACAGTGAATAATTGTATCCTTCATTAAAAGTTTTAATAAAGGTTTCTTAGGTGCAGTCCTATTCTCCTAAACTCTAAAATCGCTTGACATTTACGGAAATACAGATTAAATTACGTACCGGTTTTATTAAAAAAATTTGTTTTTATTTATAAAAGATATACGGTCCACCGTCTTTAACTGTATTTCTAAGACTAACAAGATAACAGTTGCCTAGCATATGCAATAGAATAACGTACCCGGTATAGTATATAAAGTACCTTTATCGCCTATAACGATTTCTAAAACGGCTACGATTCCCTCCAAATGGTTAGAAATATGTTAGTTTTCAGCTAAAAACAATGTTTATGCATTAAACATTCTCTTCTAGAAAAAATTGTTTTAGTATAGCGATAGTATAGTTGTGTTGAAGGACCAAGTGTTCTGAATGAGCTACTCAAACAGACCTAATAGCTATGTTGTTGGATAAGATCAGCTGTCTCTATAGCTAAGGCCACCATTCTTTAAAATTAAAATGGTGACAAACAAGAATATCTGGGTTCATCAGACTTTTTTTAATATGGGTACTGAAAGATACCAAATTAATATTGAATAAACAAAATTAAGAGGACAACCCGTTCTATACTAATAGCCTACTATAAAAGAAATTTACTTGTATTTACTCATTGACAAATTTTTAAAACAAACCATAAAAATTACCACTTTATGATGTAGTATTGATTAACCTTTATTTAAAATTCATTGGCTCTATTTAAAAATATTTATTAATACTACTATAATGCATTTCTGTATTGACATTTAACCTGTAAATTTAATCAGTAAGTTAATCCTCAAAATCTTAGGCATAGGTCTACGACAATTACTGGAGCTTATATATTTAAAATGTCTAATTAATTGTTATTTGCCTCGAATAGGAGAGACAATCACAATAGGTACTGCTTGATTTTTTATAAATAGATTATATTTTCCTAACAACATTTAATGTAACAACATTTTAATTCCTTTGTTCGGCTAAAGGAAAGACACAACATTGTAATACATTGTTAATGTTTTAGATTTCCGTTATTAATTAATGTACCTAGGTAAATCAGATCACCTATAAAAAAATTGAGCCTATATGATTTGGAATTATTTCGGTGATACTACAGAAATAATACAGTAATAAGAACCAACACTAGTGTTAACACCCGCACTACCTATCAAGGACAAGCATTCAAGTATTCAAGGTCATGAAAGTAGGCCTACCGTACCTTTTTTTGTTGGCATCAAAATTTTGCCCAAAACCCTAAAATAAGGTATTTCGGGAGCAGCTCAAATACTTTAAATGTAAAGAGAAATTTAGAAGAGCTTTGTATTTGGACACGTGATCACTGATCTCAAATCTTTTCCACGAGAACAGCGTTTCAGGTTTCGGTACCGCCCACTTCCTGCCGATCTAGTCCGGTTAAACTGTGATAAAAATTGTCTGGTTAAAGAGATGTCATTTCCACCGACTGTAGTCCGGTTGAAAGGTGTCCGGATAAGAGGGAGTCTACTTCGGATCCAATAAAAATAACTTAAATAATACAATTTTTAGTCGTAAGTCGTAAGATGAGGTTGAATAGGGCTAAGTTAGACAGGTTTGCCTTGTTTTACAACTAAAATTGTGAGTTATTTTTTTTAATTGGATCTTTTTGAACTTGTCATTAAATAGAGCACTTTAAATACTAAATGAAAGTGTTCTTGAAATTTTTTCATAAAATCAGCCATTTTTTTTTGTAATTTAAATTAAAAAAATTAAAAATGGCCATTTTTAAATTTTGAATTGGACCTAGATATTTTGTATTCTCATATGAGTCGCTTCTACCTTAATATATATACAAAGTTTCATAAAGATCAATTTGGAGTAATCCAAAGATAAAAATATTAATGTAAAAAATACAAAATGGCGGATATCTGGTTAACAAAGCGATTTTGGAAAAAGTTTTGTTCTTAATTTTCTCTTTTTGACCCAAGGAATCACTACACAAATTATGTCCCTACTTTTTTTAACACCCTGTATATAGGCCTACACAGATTTTTAAAGAATTTTTAATGAAGACTTTGTAAGTGACTACAATACATGGTTTGTATATTTTTTGTTTTAAAGAGGTGTTTTATTTTTAAATTTTATAAGTTTTTATATTTAGTTTTACACTTGATATCTTTATTCACCCTTTCAGTTAGTCAATGCCATAAGTTTCTTCAATGTTTATTTTAAATATTTTTATTAATTTTTTTAACTAGGAAGTAACAAAAATGGCAACAAAATCAATGTCCTAGTTTGCATGAAGAGCACAGCCTAAATCATTGATAAACTCTGTGAAATGTCTGGAATGTTATGTAGCACATGAAAGGTCGTTCAGTCAATGCAGTGTGCATGCTTTTGTTAATTGCTCATATGTAACTGTTAACTAGAAGTTCTACTTGGAGATTTCAAAAAGAGAATGTTGAAAATGGTAGATCCCTGGCGAACATGCAACTGGTTCACCAATCCCTCCAAAACAACCGACTGTCTACCCTATGCAAAGTACCCTGTGATTTGTATTGTTCCATAAACTCAAAAAGACATAAAAGGTTCTGGCACTATGAAGGAGGTAAAGCAAAAGTCCTTGGAAGGCTTAATGAACATATCCTATTAAAAGGTGAATTTAAACAAAGGGAGTATTCTTTGAAGAATTTTGTGTGTCATGGATCATGGTCAATGGAAAATAATTAGAGGTGTAAAATATTTGTACACATAAAAATATTTGTTACATTTGGAGTAAAATATTAAATAATAAAGTTGTATGATAAAGTTCTGTGTTTTCCAATTTTTGGACCCCTCTCATCTGCACTCTTCATACGATTACACTGGGTAGGTAATTACAGAATAAAAATTAAATTACTATAAAAATAAAATAAAACTTTAAATGATTACAGCAACATGCATCTTAGTGCAGAGCTAACTATGATTTCTTATCTTGGTAACAATAAGTTATGACTAATGTAATCAAATGTTTGAGATAAATAAAAGTTGCTTGAATGTATGTAGATGAAGTTTCATAGAGAAACTGATAATCAATTGGAAAACTGATGCAATATGTAAACACAAATGAATAAAATTAACTCATGATTAATATTAGGTTCCTACACATCTGCAAAGAATTTTCAAAGAGTTGTTTAGCTTCTAGAATTACTGTATTATACTGGGAATGGTTTGAAATACCTGCAAATAGTAATCAAGAATCAAGAATTTTATTCGCCATTGAGTAATACATGATTACAATAGGCTTCATCAGTTATCCATTGCTCACATCAGTTAACAATTAATTACATCAGTTAATCCTAGATTGCTGTAGTAGCAACTAGTTTTGGTTCTTAGATGGATGAGCAACCAAGGAATACTATATTATGCAGGCGTTTTCAAACATTTTTATCCTACCACACAGTTCGAAAGATAAAAAACATTATTTTGGCATGTATAAAAGAAAACTTATACTGACCTCCTGGGATCCAAAGCCTCGAAATCCATTTTCAGGGTCAAAAGGAGATGATCCACCATTCCCTTCCTGGGAGGGGGAAGGAAATCCTCTAAATCCCCTTTCAGGATCAAATGGAGAACTTGACCCTGCATCAGAAGGGGAGGGGAATCCACGGAACTCATACGGAGAAGAGGAGCGATCGGGTGAACCATTATCATTGTCTACTAACATTTCACCGCTATCTTCTGCATCTTCATTGTTATCATTAGGTTCATCATTGTTGGGATTTTCATTTTCTTCTGTTGGAAAGTTATGAAAATAAAAAACTTCAGCAACAACATTCATGTGAAAGACCCTGAAAATTAAGAAAATACGTGTGTATGAGAATAGGTAGTATGAAGTGTTTCAATAAGTTAAATTAGTATAAATAGAAAAAAATTACCTCATGAACCAACAGGGAAGGACGGGTCCCGAGAGTTCAGAAAATCTTTAGGGAAAATATATTCCCCATCAATGGGACAGGGATGTATTTAATTTGGGATTTTCTTGATACAGGATTTATTCCAATCATCAGCAATTTTACCATGTCGCAAGCAAAGATCATGACGTCCCTGCAATCGTGGGAGATGACACCAGTATGGCAGGTGACAATGGTCATGTCTCCACGATTGTGAGAGGTGTTCACGGTGCTTCAGCGAATCCAGGCGATGATGATGATGTATCCATAATCACACAAGATATTCACAACTCTGCCGCAATTGCGGAAATGTTGACGGTGGAACTATGACCGTGTAGGACATGTCTACAATGGTGCTGTGACCTGTCATGTGGGACATGGTCACAACTTTCCCATGATCACGAGAATGTTGATGGTGTCGCCGTGACCGTGATACATGTTGCCAATAGCGCTGGAATGCAGGACATGTTGCTAATAGCACTGGAATGTGGGACATGTTGAAGACGGCACCGTGATTGCCGTGATAAAGGCCAAATAGTAGCATATGATAGTTTGTTATGTAGTGACCAAGTTGTTCTGAAAAGCTGGTGTACCAGAGAAACGTAATAAAGACATTTTTATTTATTTAATTTATTGCAGGAGATGTTTTTGATGGTGCCATTACTGCGGGAGATATTTTCAATGGCGCCGCAATTGCAGATCATAGTCATTATGACATTGTGATAGGTAGCTTACTCATTACAAAATTTATGATTACTAAAGCTAATACTACTTTTATACTGGTAAACAAGGCCTTAAACCCATAAACAGTTAGACTGATGTTTCCCAGTTAAATTGTACCAAATATGAATTTTTGTAGTTAGCAATGTTTGTTACATGTGTATTTTTACCAATTATTTGTTTTTTAAAAACAGTGCCACAAAGAATACAATTGATTATATTTGTCAATATTTCTACCGTATCAGCAAGAATGTTGACCCAAGATTTTTCAAACAAACCCATTTTGGCACGGGGAAAAAAATCCTGTCCCATCTACAACTAAAAGTACAATCCTGTCCATCCCCAATTGGAGCACAGCTGGAAGAGTTAAGTTAAAATATATTGCGGTGTCACAAAACCAATATATTGCCATGTGACCCTCTTACGAAGCTATAGAATACAGGGGCTGGCTCACGTCTTTGATGTAGCACTTGCCGACATGGTCCCGCTCGCCCACCTCCTGTGACGTCACCGGGCTGTCAGTCGGGCCTGCTTCCATTACGCGGCCAGCAAAAATCTCCCTCTTTTACACGCTCCCCTACCGTTGGACGAACATATTTCTTATATACTTATATCGTTTTATTCTGCATTAACTGTAGAATCCAGATATCCAAACAGTTTTTAGTTTACTACAAGTAAATTGGTTTTATAACAACAAACATAGAGAAACTACAATAATGAAACTAGAAAAAGTCACTAAGAGAGGAATATTTTTATTCTCGAGTTGAATTAGGCACAAACTTTCAGTGAGGAAACTATAGTCAATCAGTTCTTCCACAGTAATTACAGTAGACTCCCTCTTATCCGGACTCCTCGAGACCGTGGCCAGTCCGGATAACAGGTTTTCCGGTTAAACAGACGTCCTCAAAAACTCGTTAAAACAGACTGTTTACTGTGATATTCGACTTAAATTTAGGAGAGCATTGTATTTAGACACGTGATCACTGGTCTCAAATCTTTCCCACGAGAACAGTCGTTTCAGTACTGCCCACTTCCTGCCGATCTAGTCCGGTTAAACCAATGTGCTGATAAAAATTGTCTGGTTAAAGAGATGTCATTTCCGCCGAGTGTAGTCCGGTTAAACCGATGTCCAGTTAAAAGGAGTTCGGATAAGGAACTGTACTGTACTTAACAATTCTTAAATACCCCTAACAGTTCATTAATAAATCGTCTCAAAAGACAATTGTTACTACTAAGCGCTCGCGGGTAATTTTGCCGCTCACCTCTCAATTTTTAGGTTGTTGTTATGGCAACACTGCATCAAATACGCGGGAAATCAACTTCGCTCTTTCATAGATATTTGTGTCTTCTGTTTGTTTCTGAGGAAGATGGAAGACAAAATGATCAGAAGATGAGTAAGTGGCTAAAATCAGTGAAATAGGTTAACTTTTATAATAAAAATACCATCGCATTAAATTGCTCTTTTACTTATTTTGTACGAATTAACACTTTGTTCTACAGACAATATAAAATTACCTAAATCATTACACATTCCTAAAAGATACCCAACCAAGTGTATTAGAAGATGTGACAAAAGGAGTACAGGAATATCAAACAAGGTAAACAACATTCTAAGCCTTAAGAAGTCTACACAATTATTAAAATACAGTTTTAGCACTAATTACTTGTTTCACTAAATACAAACAGAGCAATTGTTTTATCATGATCATACATTCTTTTTTACTATCAAGTTATAAACAGCACGATGCGGACAAGTGCGGAACGATGGAATGTGATCGCCAAGTTTAAGAAGCCTTACTTCCTGATAAGCAATAAACGACCCGTTGGTTTTATCGATAATTTTCAGACTAATTATTGAAGTAGAACTATCAATGAATATTTTTCTCGCTCAAAGTTTGTTTCTATCCCAAAAATAAAAAAATCCCCACTTAGTGACTTTTTGAAGTTCCCAAGTTTGTAATCCTTATAATTTTCCCCTTTAAAAAACATATGATTGATCATAACTAAAATATTTTTGGACCATCAGATTCGGTAGTTAATGCAGATTACAACGATATAAGTTTCATACGGACAGTTGAATTTTGTAAATTTAGGGAAACGTTTAAATGAACGGTTTGTATATGTGCCCTGTGCTAGCTACACCTTTGGAGGCAGCCCGGTGATGTCACAGCCACACGGCAATGGGACCACTTTGCTAGTCGACGTGAGCCAGCCCCTGTATTCTATAGCCCCGGCAATCTTAGGACTGCTGCCATTCACTTGAATAAACGAAAATTACCAACAACCTCAATTTAAAATATCCATGAAACAACTAGGATTGCCTGGGGCATGTTTCATAATAAACTACAAACTAATATTAATTAGTAAACCAACTGATGGCCCATTTTGAAATCTAATGGAAGTAAACAAATAATAAATTGTTTATTATGAAACAGGTCCCTGAAGTTATTGCTACCTATAGAGCTGGTGATAGTTACTGGACTATCATAACATAACGCTTAGTGAATTGTACATCACAGTTAAGTGATGGGCAAAAAAAAATTCTCACATGATTTAAGTTTTTCAGGGGATTTACGGTTGGAGTCAGGCTCAGGCAACCTTGAAAGTACTTAATGCAACTACTTTAAAAACAACATTCAATAAAAATGCTTTAACAGCCAAGACTTTAAAAATTGTAACATTTCAGATACCTAGCTGAAACATAACGCAGGATGTATTTTTATTCTGAATATGAATGTAATTTATTAAATGGTATTTTAGACATCCGGCCCCAACTTTAACTTAAGTTGAGTATTTCATGTAATCATTCATTGAAGCATTCAGACTGACAGTAAAAGATGAAAGAAAACAGTTACATCAACTAGACAGTTGTAAACCTTACTTATGAAATGTCTCCAAATCAAAATGTATATCTTGAGGGAGTGTAGTTTTCTTTACACTCCATTTTCCTGTAGTGCGTTTTGAAAGAGTGGTGGATTTTTTTGACACTCCTTTTGCTTCTGATTCGTTTTCTGCTTGAAGCTGGGTGTAGAGGACCTCAGCAGGTTCCTTCTTTTTGCGAATCATCTTCTTTTTGTTCTCAACTAGGTTGCCTAAAAACAGTTTTAAAACTCAATATGATTACACGTTCATAATACAACTAGTGTGTTATCAAAATAGCAAACTCATGTGCTGTAAAACAGTTATGTAATGGGTCAAAATTATAGAGGGGTTAAGTTTTTATATCTATTATTTAATTATCAGTAGGCCTATTCCTTACCTGGTTGGTGATAGTGGTAAACCTATCATGGTAAGGTAAATAGGCTGTTTTAGGCCTATCCTAGGGTTGAAGTAGGGATAACCTCACTTTTGGCAAAATCACTAAAGACACTATTTTTGAGATTCACAAGTCACAGTATAGCATCTTTGTGTACAAAACGAGTGATAAACCGTTTCCGTGTAACCCCCATATCTAATCTACACCTTTGGGAAGTACGGTCAAAGTTGTTGTTTAGGCCAGGGTGGTGAACCGCGATCACGAATACAATATCACGTACATAAGATGCATACACATTGTCGCACACTAAGCTACACGTCACGGGTGGAAATTATACTTTTTGTTTAAACCAGCAACGATATTAAAGTTCTGCCGTATAATTTCACAGTCAGCGCAGGTGAATAACAACATTAACAACATAACCTGTACTACTAGTCGGCTGTCTTGGCGTTGTGTTGTGACAGCGCCAAGTTTGAACTCGTGACGTCACCGATCAGCTGGTAATTGAATCAGCTGATTCCCCATCCCTAGAGGATTAGGGAGGGGGAAGTAGTGGAGATCCCTTGTGGGCTAGGGATGCGACGACATACTAATTCCTGCGATTGCTAGAGTTAGGATAGGACGTGACTTAGAGTGATTACTGTAGTGATTTTTGCCATTAGCGTTATTTTAGCTGAGGGTTTTATTGGAGATCCCTGGAGAATACAGGTAATTCACCGTTTGCTTTAAATAGTGTTTACTATTGTTCTGAGTTATTACTTAGCAATTAACCCTCATTTTATTCTTTTAGACATAAAACACACGGTAGGGTCTTTGACGGGTGTTCGAACCTGTATAAATCCGCTTTAGCGTATGCTAGGGCTCCCGTGGGTGGCAATAAAGAGTTTTAGGGATACAAATTTCGTTTAATATTTTGTTTACAATATATATTGAGGGTGACGGGGTTTTAACGAATATTTTGCCGAGATATTCAGTTGGTGTTGAACTGCTGCGACAAAGCGGGCAAAGTTGAACCCGTCTCTGCAGGTCGTGCAAACACGAGGTCGGGTGGAGCACGCTAATTATATTCAGAAGTTATATTCTAAGTGTTGAGGTTGACAAAACTGCAGCCTCAATTTATTTCAAAATTTCGTTGAATGGTTTTCCATTATTTTTAAATTTAATTTAATTAGCTGTTCCCAGGTGTGAACGATGATGATGGTACAGTAGCGTTGTTGGTTACCGGTACTGAGTTCACACCTGATTCACACTACATTTTTTGCGTATATACAAATCTGTACCTGTGCTAGGTTGTTAAGTTAATCAAACTAGTGTACATGTTGCTCGAATTCGAGCAATTGTAAAGTATTACAGGATTGGCAAACCAATAACAATCATACTTAGCTATCAACATTTCAACAAAAACACACTTATCTTCCCTTTAGCAGCAAACCTAAGTACTCATATTAAAATTAACTTAATGTTATTTAAATAGGAAAAATGACCATTTTAAGGGAATAATTAATCTTTGTATTAATTAAGCCAGGTAAATGGAAATTCGCTTAGTCTGAAGGTTTGCTGCAGATACACAATTTTAATAACAGCAAAGATTGAAGAATCTGAATTATTACTTATATCCACGAATTTATCTAACAATTATTTCCTGTAAAATATTATTACAGCAGTTCTAAAATATTGAAACTAACTCGATCAACAAATGATGTTGAAAGAATTCCATACTAATGACATTAACATAAAGTTTGACAGTTTAATTTAATCAATGTTAAATGTTTACATTCGGGCATAGACAAAAATGATTCGGGCGAGTGACATATTTGATTAATGTTTATGATCCCTACCGTTCCTGTTCTAATAATCATGCAGTATTTAATATGTTTGAACCAGCTGTGTGGAATTGTGAAATCAAAATTAATTTGACAGTTAGTTCTGCTTGTTTACATTTTTAAATTTTGTGGGTTTGTTCTTTGTTACCATGGATACCATCAATAAATATTTCTGACAACAGCTGGAGTTCCATAACAAATTTTGTTTTCCATGTTAATCGTATGGATAAATACGAAACTTTAAAGGGCCCCAGGGCCTCACTCTCTAATTATTTCCTTAAAAAGAAAGTTTCCTGCACAACTTCACGTTACGCTCTTTCCAATGACACCAAAAACATGTTAATTGGTTCAGTAGTTTCGGAGGAGTAATTGTCACAAAAAACCTGCTTGCGTATTAAATAAGTATAGATAAATTATTTTTATCTGAACCCTGGAAACTTCCCAGCACGCCGACTTGAGCGATCCGCTGGCGAGAGTTGGTGACGCTTTCCCGCTTTAACTACGGAATAGCGTATATATTCCGAGCGGGAAAAACGGCACGTTACAGTTATTTCACAGGAATGTATCACATAAATAACCAAGTTATTGTTTTTAAATTTAAAATGTTTCATCGTCCACAGATACCAATAACTTTTATGACTTGGTATATCAGAAATTCTAATAGATGTTGCAAAATCATCCCCAAAGAATTTAGCCACAAAACAAAAAATACAACTACAACAGCAAAAGATGGGTTCTTAAATTAACTCTGTTAAAAATTTTAATGAATCAATACAGCATAAATAACAATTAATAAATAAAATAAAGGGTGAAAATATGTCCCTGTTAAAATTTACAATCAAGAATCTAGGATAGGAATGCCAGTTTCTTGGGAAAACTTTGACACTGCACTCTTAACTCTGACAGCTTATTGGTTTGTTCCTCTTTGTTTTATTAAAGGATGTCTCTATTCTAGGCATCCTTTGTAAACTTGGATGTTCAGTCTGGTGCATCTTTTATCACTCCATGTTAAGGCCAGGCTCTGGATAGGTTTGGAGTTAAAGCACCTATTACCCAAAGGGTTCAGCATTATGTCTGGAAAGGATTCAGATTCCATTTTACTTTTCCCATTCTTACAAATCCCTTCTTTCCTATTATTCTTCCTTACTAGTGTACATGTTGCTCAAAATCGAGCAATCGCAAAGAAATAAAGGAGTTATTTAAAAACAGATAACTTATTTAAGAACAAATATAAGTCATAAATTTCGATGAGTTCGAAGAGTCAACTCAAAGATTATGTAACTAATGATAATTAATACTCACAATGTAGTTAACAGTTCAATATAATCAACATTTCTTGTAAATATTTGATCAATTTTCAAAATCTGATCTGGCTTTTAGTTTATTGTAGAAATGTTTCACACTTGTAGCCGCAATAGGTTGTCCATGTTGGTCTTTGTCAATGATAATGTAGTCTGCATGGTATCACCCATTGTCGCTAGTACGTTTACAAATTTCAGTCTTTATTTTAATAGCACCAAATCACCAAACTACCTGATTTTCTGCATAACCTCTCTGTCACATTTTTACAATTAACATATGTCCTTCTTCTCACTTAATTTCTGACAACGGCTGGAGCTTCATAACAATGTTTGTTTCCCATGTTAATCTCATGGAGAAATACAAATCTTTAAGGGGCCCCAGGGCCTCACTCTCTGATTATTTCCATAAAAAGAAAGGTTCCTGCACAACTTCACGTTACCCTCTTTCCAATGACACCAAAAACATGTCAATCGGTTCAGTAGTTTTGGAGGAGTAATTGTCACAAAAAACCTGCTTGCGTATTAAATAAGTATAGATTAAAGGCGGTTGACACTGGCGTAGTCAGACGTCTGCAGACATATTCGGTGTATTAATACGTCACCCGTGTACTGTTCACACCGCAGCTACGTCTGGCGGATACGTAGCCGGTGTGCAGCTTTTTCCCCTCCCCGCCCGTGCCACACTTCATATATTCAGCATGTTGTGTTCAGCATCCCAAAGATATAAATGGATCCATCCAATTAATCGAAGAAGTTACTCAAAAAAATATATATTTTTCTTTAAAATGAATTTATACTAGGGGTCTGCGACTGCGATGCGAAAAAGTCAATACATACGGTTCTGGCTTAATTACTGTCATGGTTAGGTAGGTACCATTATAATAATATATTACTTTGAAGTTACTATCGTGTCGAGCACATATAAAGGCCTGCCCAAACTGCCGTGGTATGCGGTACGGGTAAACCACCAGGTATTTTAGAACAACGTGAGCTAATGGGAGCGCCCACACTGGCACGATACCGCAACCTGTGCGGTACAATTTACCCTCGTACCGCAAAAATGCTGCATGCCCTATTTTTGCTGCACGGTATTTCAGCGGTACGCATGTTCTCAATGTAGAGCAGTTGTCAGTTGAGTTAGCAGCATGCCTACTGATCGATTGATCGAAGTACCGCATACAGCGTACCGCACCAGTGTGGGCAGTGGGCGCCCTACCATACAGCTACCGGTGTATCTGTCGAGGCGGTATAAATACCCATACCGCAGACCGTGTACCGTGGCAGTTTGGGCAGGCCTTTAGGTTTATCAGATGTTTTATTTTATCATAAAAATAATAGTTTTATGTTGACTGTTAAATTTTATCTCTAACTCAGTCAGTATTTTTGTTAATATTCAATTTGCCACTGGCCATTGCCTACTGCCTTATAACTGTTGATGGCTTAATATTAAACTTGTAACTAATCTACAATCTTATTTTATGGGTTAAAATATTTGTTATAGATATTTTATCATTTTTTTATTGACAAAACAACAAGCTTTGTTGTTTGCATATTTCTTTCCGCTATGCAAGCCTACTCAGACTTAAATTATGTCATTGCATGTTCTGTATCTGGTCTTATATTGTTGGATGTGGCTGTTAAGGTATAAATGTTTTTTGTTTCCTATATTTTTCTATTGCGATGTAGGTATGCAAGCTAAATCTTATGAACTAGAATGATGATAGTGATTTTGTTACCCTCATTGTTAACCTAATTTTTTGATACTCAATTTATATGGGCCCTCCTTAATAGTTGGTCTTTTGATTCTTTGGAAGAGCTTCAAAATATACTAAGAACATTGTTAGTTAGCTTACGTGATCATGGAGCAACTCAGCATCGAAACCTGGTTGTAGAGTTTTAACGACCATTTGAGCTACTGACAAAGGTAACATAAAACCATTTATTAGAACATTGGATTGAGCCTGAGATATTTATAATTTGCAAATGAAAAGGCAATAATCTTTTTCTGTGCTAATCCAAATTTTTACTGTTCAGAAAAAGCTTTGCAAGAATTGTATCCATCTGATAAAAAAGACACTCTTTGCCATTACTTCATCATAATCTTCAGTTTTACATTGTCGTCTGTTGAATGTGAACTGCTGGCAACTACAATGTCTTCGTATTGAATACTTTGATGTGTTTTTAAAAGTTTAATAAACAAGTAGGCATTGTGTTGGTTGGAAATAATTTACCAGTTGTGTGAAATTATCTTGTCAAATCAATGCTTCAAACATGTTTATTCCTACAAATTCTTATCCAAATTTTAAAACTGTTTTATCATGGCTATTCAGAGTATCTCAGAGTAAAATAGGTAAAGAGGTATAAGGTAAATAAGGTAGGGGTTTTTGGTAAGGTTTATTAAAATAGGTATTAACCCTCCGAGTGTTATGTGTCGAAAAATCTACACATAACACACTTTGTGTAGTGTTTTGTGTCGATTTTTCGACTCACAAACACTGTTTACGGCGAAGGCTCTATGACTGACAAAATCGGATTGAACTGGATCGAGTTAGGTATCGTTTTATTTGGCAGGTTCTAAGCTTTCTCTCGAGGTCTGTCTCTGTCTTTTTTTTCTCGAGCCGATCATAATTGTAGCAGACAGCTGACGTGCGTATTTGTAAACAGCTTGGTTAACCTCGCACCGATGACTGATGTGTTTTATTACGTTTATCATTGTTTTAGTGTTAAAAATCAAAAGTAGTGATATAAGTGGTGCATTATAAGAAGATTTAAGTGATTTTGAAGGGCTGGTTGATGATCCTGAAGAAGTAGGTAGTGATATTGATGTAAATTATCAGCCAGATTCCTAGCTATGGTTAGGCTATGCATTCTTACGCTATGTACTGAAATCTGTTTTTTGCCCATAACTTATTTATTTGCAAATCTACTTCCTTATATTATTATATATTTGTAATCCTCATAAAATTTAGAACGAAGTGGCTATTTTCAAATATTTATAGGCCTATAATGTATACAATTTCATTGAGCGCAAACTTATTTTTTTTTTGAAAATTTTCCAAATTATTTTTTTTTCACCTAAAAAATTTTTTTGAAACAAATGTTCCTTATGTTTTATGTATAATATTGAAGCCCATGATTTTCCAAACAAAATGGTATATAGAACAGTATAATTAACATTGTTTTTAAGCTTCTCAGATCCGTTTTAATAAAACCTTGCAAATGCGCAAAAAATAGGCAAACATTAAGGCTAAAACTAGGGACACTCGGAGGGTTAACTGTGTTTTTTCTTGACAATCCTCTTAGGAGTAAAAGGTTTTAATAATGTGTGGTACAGTAATAATTGTTGTCTTAAAACCATGAAAGTAGGATACTATCCATTTTCATAGTAATGTCAATGTATTAAAATTTTAAAGAATGGTTTAAATACAATTCTGAGAAGAAAACCGCAAAAATAATGGTAGCCATGTAACGTACCAATTTTGAACAGAGAACAGAGATTCAAAATATTGTACCGTACCGACCTTTCGCCTCATTTTTCACAAATCGAGCACTGTATATAACACTTGTTATACAATAAAACAAAAAGCCTTTTCAGCTATACTTTTAAATAGTTTTTGTAACATTTGGATTCTTCCTTTTTAGCTCTTGACCTACAGTAGATGACTTTGAATTCACAACAACTGCTCAAGTCCGACTACCGACGGTCAAACCCACAAATTTTTTCTTTTTAGCGAATTTCCCATATAGGGAATAAGCTAAATTACCATAGTACTCATGGTAAGACCTGGACCCGGGACCAATTTATTTTTTCGTTTTGAGGTCCCTAGAGGTCAAAAACACCACCCGTTCAAATTCAAATATATATATATATATATATATTTATCACGATAACTTGAGCAAAAATGATCCGATTTTGATGAAATTTGGTACAAACGTGTAAACCTACATTTATTCAAACGATTTCGCAAACCAGCATGATCGGACTATGGGAACGGGGGTTTATGGGGTAAAAATAGGTTTTTCCCATTTTTGACCCTAAAAACAAAAAATTTTACAATTTATCTCCAAACCATTTTGTAGAGCTTAAAAAAACAAATAATTTAGTATTTTGAAGCGTTATTGTGCGCCTAATGGTTACGGAGAAAATTCCAAAAAATTGTAAATTTAAAATCCCCATGTTATTCTTATAGAGAATAAGCCAACTGTTGTAGTTTACTTGTGTATGAACATATTTTGATCGAATTTGGAAAATACGTTCATTTCTTACTAAACTATTAACATAAAAAAACCACCTTCTTACCCTCCCTGTTGCAGCAAACCTAAGTACTCGTTAAACTTAATTCTATTTAAATAGGGAATAAATATGATATTTTTAAGGAGGCATTTTAATGTGAAATCCTATCAGGCTAATGGAAATTTGCTTAGTCTGCAGGTTTTCTGCGGCGGGGGTATTTATATATACTGCATATATATTTTTCTCTCTAATATATAGATTTCACGGTTTTTACATAACAATAAACAATCAGTCGTTATTGAGCTTAAACCAGCACTAAAAACAAACAAGTGTTATTTTTCCATTTTGACAAAACAATGTTGTCAAATTAATACCACATGTAAATGGCATAACATGTTTGTAATATTTCACACAATAATTTTTCATCATAAATCTTCGTATATTTGATAATAGATATATGAAAGAACCTATGAATGATGTTGAAAAGTTTAGATCATATTACAGGTTTGAGGGAGATGGTGACAGCTCAGGATGCTAAGTGCACATGCGCGTAGAATAATAGAATAATTGCCTTTTACATATGAAGAAAAGTTTTGAAATAATTACCTTGAGGGCGCTTCCAATGAGCCGGTCCAGCCCAGAATCTGTGACTATCCATCTTCAAGTAATGATAATCACTCTCTCCAGGTGTGTGAAACAAAGTCTTCATTACTTCAGTTCTTGTTGGGACATTCCCTTCAGACTGAAAGAAAAGTGCATAATTATTTTCCAGTTTAAAATCACCTGGAATACTATTTTTTCAACCTACGGTTGGTAAGGTTGGCACTAAGTGACCTGCAGAAAGCGAGCATGCACTGAAGGCAACGGGAAAGTGCATGTATGTTGGGCTAGACCACACGTTAAGATGGCCACCAATAGCTACTGTTTCTCAGCCAAGGGTAAATTGCGAAGAAGTGTTCGTTCTCTGTATACGGGAGAAAATAGAGCTGTAGAAATTAATCCAATTATTTGCCAAGTGAATGGTGTACGCTTGAAAATAAGTTGGCAACTCTTAAGGATATTATGAATACGATCAGCTAGTGCAGCGTTTAAAATTTTGTTCAATGTTTGGATTTAACCTAACCTAAAAACGTTTTGTACAGTGTTTGAAAGACTAATTTTTATATGATTATAGTAACTGTAGGAAAAATATAATGTGTAACATGATTGCAAACTGCCTTTACTGCACTCGAGAAATTTTTTAACACTCGCCTACGGCTTGTGCTTAAACATTTCTCTCGTGTGCAGCAAAGTGCTACTAGTTACACAAATAACTAGTTATTACAAAAAATGTAGGCATATATTGATTAAAAATCATTCCTTTTATTATTTGTCATTTTTTGCTGTAAAAAACCTAAACCTATAGACTACTGATAACAATTAAATAATAATTATTCCTCATGATAATAATATTATAGCAATTCAAACATGTAACAACATATCAGTAATATTAATAGATACTACAGACATTATAAACAAGCTTGGCCATACTGTAATTGTTTTGTACTGCTGAATCGCTCTAGTTAACTCTCGAAGACAAGAAATAATCTAAACTGGAAGAGCATTGATATGTTTAGCTCGATGTTTAAAGGTAGAGAACTTCGCCGCTGCGCGTGCGTAGGTGCAGAGTCGTGTCATCAGTAGTCAGGTGATTATGATGTGTTCATAATAACCCCGCGCTACCTGCCCATTTACAAAACCTTTCCCACCAAGGCCATACCCCTAAAACGCAACTATCCCACAGGTGATGAAGACTCTCAACAATTGAGATTTTGCAAGTGCTAACTAGGGTTTTAAACATTTCTTAACTTATAATGCTTAGTCTGCAGGTTTGCTGCGGCACAAGCACATGTTAATGTTATCAAGTTTTATACAATCTAAACAGCTAGGTATTTTCCACATCAAATTAAGGAATTGCTAGCTTACTTAAATTCTGATACTACTTACTGCCATCCTTAGCTTGGCAACAGAAATCAATTCAATATCCTTCTCCTCTTTCTGATTGATCTCCAAGTCTGAAACAACAAATAAAAAACATAAGTAGGAAATAAAAAAGGAATCTGAAATTTATTTAGGCCTAATTTAAATTTACCCTTAATCAACCCATAAGTGATTTGGACTTGCTCATATCATCATCGCCTATTTAGTTCGGATCCCTCATTTCGACTCCCAGTAGTTACTTACATCTCTACAACCCACACCAGTTTGTAACCAATTGAACAACGTCCAACGTTTGCATTGAAGGTTCTGTTTAGACCTTGGAACCCCACTACTGCCAGGACAAGGACCAATCACCATGAGAGGAAAATAAAGTCTCCTTGAGCTGGTAGGCCATTCCTAATGGTGGCTTGTCAAGACTTCAAACAACGTTCTATTCTAAGGGGATTTTTAGATTGAATTGATAGATAGAATTGAATAGATAGTCAGGAACAAACAAGATCTTGCCATACTGTAAGAGTCACTCTTTGCGTGTTGTCTCAGGTGGGGCAGAGTAAACCAGGGACAAGTCAGTAGTAAACCAAACTTTTACGTTGACGTTGGTTGACACACCGTAATTATCCTGCAGCTATATAATAAATTTGTCAAGATTCTTAACTGCAGTTTCTGAAAATCGATCTAGGATCAGTCCAAAATGTTGTGGGTTGGAATTAAGCTTTTCACCATCAAACAAAATTATAAGATCGCCAGATCGGCCAGTCTGTTATTAAAATGAAATTAAAATGTTAGTCTACTTACTGTTCTCATCATTGGAGTCCGAGTCATATATGTCAAGGGGGCCCTCGTAATCTGAAATATAATACATCATTTAGCTTAATTATCTTATTATTGAAGACACTAAACAGGAAGACAATTAACTCAACTGAAAAGTACTAGGAGATTAAAAAAACACAAAAAAGTAACACGTGAAATATTAGTTAAATTTATTACTTTTATTTTTATATGTTCTTTTGGTTAAAAGAACAGGAGGGTTCCGGGGACTCTTTTTTCAGGTGAGTTAGTTATGTACCCTACCTTTCTCCTTAACAAGTTCTTAAAGCCAAGTTGCTTTTTCCCTTCAAAAATTAAACAGGACAGTATTTTTAAAAGCTTGAACATTACCTTGATAAGATTTGTACGGTTTGTGAATATAAGGGCTGTCCATCCATTTTTAAATCTTTAATGTCATACAGAATTCTTATGTGGGAAAAATTCATTACATTGTAAAACAATAATTTAACTCTGGTTTAGAGTCCTCCCCAAAACTTTAATGTTCATTTTAATGTCCGAATGAAGTGTAACGATCGGAGTAGTTATGTTACTGAGATCAGCTGTTTTCATAAGTCAGGATAATTTATTTAAAGCTACTGACTTTTCTCATGATCAATCCAGCACAGTAACCACACTGCTACCAAGCCTCAGCGTACAGATTAGGGGTGTGCGAATAGTGATTTTCAACCTCGAGCCGAGCCGAGCCGAGCTTTTTAAAATATTTTCGAGCTCGAGCTTTTTCGAGCCGAGCTTTTCCTAGCGTCACCTTATAATAATAATAATAATAAATCTTTATTGTCGTTTGGTAATATAAACATTACAATAGACAAGGTCAACATGTTTTGTTACATATGTTAAATAAAATATTAAATATTCTACAGAAAATGTTAAAATAAAGTTAAAAGAATCTTAAAAGGATAAAGCATCAGTAATAATAAAAACTTTAAAATTAACAGGGAAAAGACCATAACAAGAACAAAGAATCATCAAGACTGCTTGGCCTCACATTTAAGCGTTAAAAAATCTTCATTCTGCAAAAACTCATCAACTGAATAAAAAGCACGACTTGTAAGCCAATCTGATAATTTTGACCAATACAAATTAATACTTTCCTGATTTCTAAAATGTATTGGAAGTTTATTAAATAGTTTTATTTGCAAATATTTATAACTTTTAAAAAATTTTGATAGCCTGGCTTGAGGAATATATAAATCTTTTGATTGTCTGGTGATATACCCATGGATTGAGTTGCAAGGAACAAATTTATTCAGATTCTCTTTAACGGAAACTAAATTGTAAAAAATGAAAATATTAGAGAGTGTCATGATTTTATTTTCAGCAAAAAATGTTTTGCAACTAACCCTATCTGGAATTTCAAACATAATTCTGAATTCTGAACATTATCAAAAAAATAAATTATTAAACATTTTTCTTCAAAAAGTGCATAATAATAATAATGTTCAGTAAATTTTTAAATAAACACAATATTATTTTAATATGTCTAAAAACATTGAGAATTGTCAAGACATCAAATAGTAGATAATCACGATAAGAACTGAACTGAACTAAATTAAGATGCAAGAAATAAAAGGATATGATTGAAGGCCTGACGAGATATGCAGTGCAGACTGAGCCAATCAGATTGTCTTTCATAACAGAACAGCGCTATCTTGAATGACAACAAAACAACTAGCAAGTCGATTAAATATGTATATTGTAACTACTATGAATATTTTATTCCATTTTGTATAAATAAATAAATATAAAACACGTGATTATTCTTGTTGTTTTCCATGCACAAAATATTTTTGTTTTATGATCGTATTAATCAAAAAAGAACATGATTGGTTTGGATCCAAAAAGGTGAAGAGACAAAGTAAAAAGTAAAATTATATATTAAAAAATATATAATTAACATATAGAGGAAATAGACCAAAACACTAAAATTAATAGAATAACACACAAAGTAAACAAGAAATGAAATAATGAACACGATGATTTAACACTGTCACTAAATTCTGTTATCTAGAAGGGTCGGTGAACTAATCAATAAACAGCCAAAACCAGTTTCCTCCCCCATTTCTCTCTCAGTCTCACCACCACCCCTCCCCCCCTGAGCCGGGAGGCCCAGCACTTTGTCCTTGAAACACCCTAGCCTCTGAAACAATAAACCCTTACACCCGCGTTGCAGTTTTGACAACAGGGTTATGAATGCATTCACTATTTTTCATTTTCCAGGATTAACTCTCAATTATTATTATTTGCAAGTTACAAATAGGAAACTACATCACATTATGGTATTCAATGACCCATGTATTATCAAAAATTAATAATCCATTACTTATTTTGATAATAAAAAGCATTCATTACAGCACGCACCACTTATTGATATTTAAATAATCATCAAAGTAACTGTTACTTTATACAAAATAAAATAGGTACAAAATTGTGTGGCCAGTCAAACTTTATAAACAAACATTTTATTCTATAAAATACAGATGGTAAATAGGGGTTGGTTTAAAGGAAATAAAATACAAAACAGATAATTAATTATTTTGATAAACATTAGAAAGGTTATGGGATTGATTGAACTAAAATAACCGCAGGGAAACTTATAAGTAGAAAAGTCTCGTCAACCACAATCTGTTTAATCAGTACATTGTTAGAGAGAGCAGAGAGAGAAAGAGAGATAGCAGATAGGGGCGTTTGATAAGGAATCTGAAAAAGTAAACAAACAAGGAACAATGACACGACACGACGATTGATACTTGTTTACAGCCTTATTGTGTCGCCCACTACATTTGCACACGTGACCACTTTTTGTTTCTTCCTTATCTTTCATCCGTCCCAAAATAGAATTCCTGAAATTGTTTGTTAGTATAATCTCCCCTCCCACACAAGGCGCAGTGCTCAGTGCGCACTGTAGGTTGTCACGGCAACCGTGTGTCGTCATAGCGACGAGCCAGACGAGCCAATCACGCACTCGCACTGCGTTGTATATTACGATACGAATAGCTGTGTTAGAAAGACAACGCGATAGGTGGTAGTTTGTCTCTTTACTATCTCCTCAAAATTACGATCGATAATCATTGCGTCTTGACTGAGCTGAGGTTCGTGCTTATCAAACCTCGAATGCTTGAACAACGTAGAATTGTGATAACATTGTTTCCAATTACGACCCAAATTAAGTGTTTTTTTTTAGTTTTGACTTAGTATTAAAAGCTCGGCTCGAACTTCGAGCTTTTTCAAAATGCCTCGAGCCGAGCCGAATAATGAAAAGCTCGACCAAAAAGCTCGAAGGTTCGAGTACTCGCACACCCCTAGTACAGATATACTTGATTTTAATGAAGAATAATTTAATTTAGGAAGTATAGGGCTATCCTAGTCTGCAGATTTATATAGCTAAATATTCCTTAATTTTAGGCTCTTTTATTAAGGTTGACTATACAATTAAGCCAATTATTAAGCATAATCCAATACTGAAGTCATTTGAATTTCTTTACTATATTCCCAGAATTTATGAAAATACTCTCTGTTGGAGTCGTATGATAAGTTACCAGCCTATTACATTCATACCTTGGTCCATTTCGTCTTCAGATTGTCTCCTCTTACAAATAGAAAGTTTGGGCAGACACGACTTGTCAATGGTGTTCTCCAAGTCTAGTTTTGTCCTCTGAGATCGATCTTTGGTATCTGGAAAGTGTAAATGGAAATATTCTCATAACTGCAGAAAATCAATAAACAAAACAATAAAATTGAAAAAGTAGACACTAGTCGACAAAAGCATTTCAAAAACAATAGCCTATGTCTAGTTCTAATAAAAATAAAGGCATTAAACATAAAAACCCGATAACAATCTAAGTCAACTTTGATTTGAATTCCTGAAAATATTTTCTAATCCCCAGAATTTAAATACCAACAAAAAAAAAAAATCCTGTAACAAATGAAAGGATAATTAATTTAAATAGCGCAACAGCAACTCTTATAATTATTTCCTTTTAAAAGTGTTTATTTTTTTATTGAAAATCAAACTACAGGTTCCAAAACCGTCAATGAATTTCAGGATCAAAACTAATTTTAAACTGTTAAATTTGTGTTTGCTCCAATGTACAATAAGATAGAATCACCAGTTATTAATTGATAATCTTTTAGGCTAGGATTATACTGGGACGCTAGTGGGGCATTAAATCAAATGGGGGCGATTATACTAGGGATACCAGCGTCGGATGCTAAAAAGGCCATTGGACGCTCGATTTTGTGCCTCCCAGATGGGAGGCTGAAATTCGAGCGTTCGGTGACTTTTTGCCTCCCGGGATGCACAAAATCGGTTGTGGGGCATTGGTTCAAATGTGGCGCATTATACTAGGCGGCTAGCATCCGATACACTCTCTTTCGACATGTGCGCAAATATAGGGAATACCCTATTGCCATAGGTCGCATGGTAAGACCTGGACCCGGGACCGATCTGCTTTTTCGATTTGATGTCCCCAGAGGCCAAAAACACCATCCGTACATATAGATTTAAATATTATATATATGTCCGTAAACGCAATAACTTGAGTAATTTTTGTCCGATTTTGATGAAATTTGGCTTAAAAGTGAAGGGCGGAATAAACTTGAATAGGTTCTCGAACCAACATGAACGGACCTTGGAAAAGGGGATTTATGGGGTAAAAAAGGGGTTTTGTAATTTTTGACCCATAAAACACAAAATTTTCCAATTTCTCTCTAGACAATTTTAATGAGAATTTAGTATATTAAGATGTTTTTGTACGGTTATTAGTTACGGAGATAATTCAAAAAAGTGTAAATTAAAAATTCCTATGTTATTCTAATAGAAAATATTGTTAACTGTTGGAATTTGCTTGTGTATAGATATATTTTGATTAAACTTGACCAATTTGTTTTATACTAAGCTATTAATATTTTACTAGAAACACACTTTATTAGCCTCCTTAAAGCAGAAAACCTGGATACTCGTTAAACCTAATGTTATTTAAATAGACATAAACAAAAAGTAACAAAACATTAAAATAAAATGGCAGTCTGAGAGGCTAGCATCCCAACACAAATCACGTCATTTTCGGCTCGAAGTGGGACGCTAGCCTCTCGGACGCCAGCCTCCTAGTATAATCGCAGCCTTACTTTTCTGATAACATTTTATTGCAAGTGGCCTCAACTATTGTTGAATTTGACAAATTGATAACTTACCTATGTAAGGGATTTCTTGTTCTCCTCCTATTACTAAACGTTTATTTGACTGTAAATCTGGCCAGAATGGTATATTTTTTTCTAAAGTTAGAGATAAGTCTGTGGGATTGTAGATGGCTCTCTTAAGTATTTCCCCTGGAAGAGCTTCTATTTTAAAAAACTTGTCTCTGGGATCATTCTCTTTTGGAAGCCTGCTTATTTGGTCATTCGTCGTTATTACTTTCTTCTTAGGCTGAAAATTAAAACAACCGAAATCAATCAATAGCTTTATAATCTTTCTACTTCACAAAAAGACTAATTATCATTGTTCCTGAGATTGAATGAAGACTTGATTGGGACGGTTTAGTTCAGGATTTTCACTTATGCTGATCATTTTATAGAGTATTCTAAAAAGGTATTGTTTATATTGATTGTTAAGTGCTTGATGTTACAAGTACTGTATTTACAAAGTTAACAACTGAAAATTGATTGTTTAGCCTAATTCTAATTTCTAGGCCGTAGAGGTCTCCAAGGAAGGAGGCAAGTATAAAACCTTACTAAATCATACTGAAAAAAAAATGACAAATCTAACAAAGCCTAATACGAAGGCTATTCAGAAAGTAAGAAATGTTTCTATTGCAAGTACAGACTTGTTTTCGTCCTCTGTGACTGCATAGCTGTAACGGCATAAATGTCATTTCGCTACCCATTTTTGCAATATTCAAGTTAAAATGTGTTGCGATTGAAAACCCTGGAGCATTCTGTGGCAAGACTTTTGTGGGTCAAAAACTTAAAAACTATAGAAATGTTCATCAAAATTATGTAAAGTACCTATATGGAAACAATGTAGTAAAATTACAGGTATTGTAACTTGTATTTCGGACCATGATGCTCAACTCTTTGAAGTTTCGTGCTCAAACAAAAACAGTATAAAAATAACAAAAAAACGAATAAAGAAATGTTCAACAAATAGTTATGATTTCTTTCAGAAAGAGTTATTGACAGAAACTTGGTTAGATACTATTTCTCAAGCCTGTAGATAAGAAATATGATGTTTTTCATAGTATATTTAATCATCGTTTTGATGTATTTTTCCCTCAAACTTTAACTGTGATAAATTGTTTTAAAAAAAGTAATTGGATTACTGAAGAGATAATAGGCAAAAAAGGCAGATTAAAGAATTAGAAATTTTATTTAGATTAAGTAAGAATGAAAGTCTTAAGGTAAACATTAAAAAGTTAAAAGCTGACCCAAAGCAATGCATTGACAAGGGAAACATATTTTTGATAGAAAAGTAAATAATGCAAAGAATAAAGCAAAACAAACTTTGAAATTAATTAACTCAGAGGTAAACAACAAAAAGGTTTCAAAATGTAACATTGATATTTTAAGAAATGGTATATTTATTACTGGTATATTTATCAGGTCAGTAATAGTTTCAATGATTTCTTTGTGTCTGTGGTTGATAATTCTGTTCTTCCTAAAATTCTTCAAGGACAAGATAGTGTGGTGCATTCTCAGCATTTAAATTCTAATAATAAATTCAAATTTAAGCAAACTGATGATAAAAATCTTGAAAAATTAATAAAATATTATCTTTTAAAAACAAATTTTCTACTGGCTATGATGATGTTTCAATTATTACTGTTAAAGAAGTCCTTCCTGCTATTTTAAGAACTCTTCTACATATAGTAAATTCCTCTCTCATTTCAGGCATTTTTCCGAATAAACTCAAAAGCCAAAATTATTCCAGTTTTCAAAAAAGGGGAACCAAACGATGTTTCCTGTTACCGACCAATTTCATTTCTAGTTTTTTTCAAAACTCTTGGAAAAAGTTGTTTTTATACAATTGATGGATTTTTTAAATGAAAATAACTTAATGGATTCAGAACAACATGGATTTCAAGCAGGTAAATCAACAGTCACTGCAGTTATTGAATTTATTGAAAGTATAATAAATGCAGTGGATAAGGGAGAAAAAGTAATTGGAATTTTTCTTGATTTAAAAAAGGGCATTTGATAGTGTATCGCATGAAAAGCTTAAAGACACTTTATTAAAATTAGGTATTCATGACAAAGAAATTAATTAAATTGGTTTAGATCCTACCTCTTTCTTAGGCAACAATATGTTGAGATAGAACATTATAAATCAGATTTTTCGTGTAAATACAGGGAGCGGCAGAAATATCTGACGGTTTTCAAGCGAGTACAGTCCGGCAGCCGAGTGGAGGGGAGTGGTGGGGAGCGGCTCATTCTCAAGGCCAAGTGACCCCATTTCAGTCGCCATGGAGCAGTGGACCGGTATACATCGCGCGTTTGTCATTGAGGCGTATTTTAAAAGTGGCGATTCTGTTGTTGATACGCAACGTAAGTTTCGTAGGCATTTTAATGTGGCTCGAGGGGAACCTATCCCATCCCGAAACACCATCAAATTGTGGGTGGATACCTTTAGATCCACAGGATCAACTGCAAAACGTAGGCCTACAGGTCGTCCAAGGTCAATGAGGACGCCGGAGAATGTGGAGCGAGTGCGACAAGCTGTGCTAACGAGCCCGCATCGCCCGGTGCGTTGACAAGCTGCTGCTCTTGGCATGTCTGAGCGCTCTATTCGGCGAATTTTGCACTCAGACCTTCACTTTCACCCATATAAAATAGCAATCGTCCAAAAACTTCAGCAAAATTCGCCGAATAGAGCGATGAGACATGCCAAGAGCAGTCGCTTGTCTACGCGCCGAGCGATGCAGGCTCATTAGCACAGCTTGTCGCACTCGCTCCACGTTCTCGGTGTCCTCACTGACCTTGGACGGCCTGTAGGCCTACGTTTTGCAGTTGATCCTGTGGATCTAAAGGTATCCACTCACAATTTGATGGTGTTTCGGGATGGGATAGGTTCCCCACGAGCCACATTAAAATGCCTACGAAACTTACGTTGCGTATCAACAACAGAATCGCCACTTTTAAAATACGCCTCAACGACACACGCGCGATGTATACCGGTCCACTGCTCCATGGCGACTGAAATGGGGTCACTTAGCCTTGAGAATGAGCCGCTCTCCACCACCCCCCTCCACTCGGCTGCCGGACTGTACTCGCTTGAAAACCGTCAGATATTTCTGCCGCTCCCTGTATAATTACGTCCAAAAATTTAATTCACAGATGCAGACGGTCCGCAATGGAGTTCCGCAGGGGTCGGTGTTGGGGCCCCTCTTGTTCCTAATATACTTGAGGGGTCTGCCGGACTTGATGCCTGCGGGCGGGGCTGTCTGTATGCTGATGATACTAATATTACCATTCATGTAAATTCAAAAGAAAGTATTGAAACATCATCATTGGTCATTAGTCATAATTATAACACTATTTCTCAAACTCAAATTGATAGACACAATCTAGAATTTTATGAAAAGAAAATGAAATTCACAGGAAATAAATTTATGTCTCATTCACCAAAAACACTTCAAACTGAAAATGATACAAAAAAGTTTAAAAATTGTCTTAAAACAGTATTTGATTAAATTATCAATCTTATTCATCATCTTATTCTCTTGAAGAGTTTTGGGAGAACAAATAAAATAAATACTCTGTTTTATTTTTAGTTCAATGTAAAGCATTTTATTTTGTAAGATCTGACTCTATTCCTGTACAATTGTACTGAAATGAATAAAGGATATTTTGATTTGATTTTATTTCAGTACACTAATTTGTTTTGCGAAGAAAGGTAGTGCTTCAGTTGATCTTTCAATCAAATATATATTCGATACTATTTTTTTCTTATACAAACTGAATTTCCTTCCAACATGTTCCTTACTTTCTGAATATCCCTCTAGTTAAAAAAAAAAATACAAATTATAACATAAAGTTCTACAACATAAGTCACATAAATCAGGTACCTTTTTCTTCTTTTCAACATTGCCAGTGCCCTCTCCATTGTCCTCATCTCCATCCTTGTCGTTATCTTTCTTCTCAGCATACATACATGTTTCTACAAGTTTCATCACTTGCTGATGCACGGCATCGACTCTTGAAGAATATATTTTGGCTCCTGCATCTAGCTGACAAGCCATTGCCTGGCACAAGTTTAGGAATGAGCATATGAGATAAACAAAGCTCACAAAAAATTTGTAAAACATGTGTACAGAAGAAACCTTGATATTTGGCCTCGAATTTACTGGCCCTCTGTTTATTCGACCACTTCTTGGAAGCCGATATAATAACATATCCCACGGATTAGAGACCTGTAGTTGCAAGCTATAGTTTCCCTCACTTAAGTGCTTTCATGGTTTATCTGTTTGTTTACATTTTACTGTGTTCACTACCCAGTTGAGCTGTTCTGTCGTTTAGTTAGTTTGAAGTAGGCCTAAGCCTAACCTCTGAACAGTTGGTTAATCAAGTAGCCTACAGTAATTGTTTTGTTACATAGAAAAGTATCAAGAAAATTCAGTAGAAACTTGCAAACTATTTTAAGACCTAATAATCTTCAAAGCCAATTTGTTGTTAGTGATTTTTACCTTCATTTTTATTCAATATTACTTTATATTATCTGAGTTAATAATACTTTTATGTTAGTTATTTAAACAATATTTCATATGAATACATTTTAAATTAGTTTTACATGCATGTGTATTTTTCCAAATAGGTTGGTTTTTCTGCCAAATCATTATCCGGCCTGGGGCTCAGTACCGTGATGGCCGGATATTAGGAGTTCTACTGAAATTTTTTCATATGTTTAATGTATTAACTTCCACACACGCACCATACCAATGTTAGCCATCAAATTTTTCATATGTATTGCTTTGTTATGTTAGAATTTTTAGCATATTAGCATATTATTGTAAATGGTTGTTACAGTCAAATAAATAAATAAACACAGTAAGTCTATCATTAAAGAAACACATGAAAAATAATGTTCTAATTTTATTAAATGATTTGCATCACAGGTCTTAAACTGAAAGGGTAAAACTCACTTTGTAGTTGAAATTAACATTATCAATCATCATTGAGACAGTAACGCTAACTAGGCACATATATTGATTAATACCATAGATGAAGTAATATAATGAGATAGGCAACCATATGGAGTTATACATGGGCATTTTTAGCCTAGCAGTGTGCTGCTCCTAGCAGCAATACCGAGCCCTAAAAATCTGTAGTACCAACGGATGTGTTTTTATTCTTGTAAATTTTTCTCTAAAGCTACTTTTTTAGGAGGTACACTATATTTAAACTAAGAAAAAATTACTTGCAGTGTACATTCTGCGCCATGTAGCTCCAAAATGAGTAAGTTTAAGAGAGAACATGTTTAGAGTAATAAGTCTTAAAATTGCATCTACATTCTAAAAACCCCCATAAAATACATAGTTTTCTTATTTTAAAATGTTCTGCTATTTTGGAAAATGGCGGCCATTTTTGAAATAATGGAATCAAGATCTTTTTAGAATGTAGATGACTTATTTACAATTTTAAGACTTATTTACTCTTAGCATTTTCTCTCTAAACTTACTCACGTAGGAGCTACATGGCGCAGAAACACGCTGTAACTCCTAAATGAGTAGCTTTAGAGAATAAATGCCAAGAATAAAAATGTTTTTAAATGACATTTACATTCTAAATAAATCACAAAGTATAGGGTCTTCCGTAAGTAAAATCAAAGTTGGCGGCCATATTGGAAAAATGGTGGCTAAAATTATTTTAGCACGTACAATGCTGATAAAGAAGTTATTTAAAATTATTTTTTTAACTTGAACAAAATTGTTTTAAATAAAAAATCCAAGGCAGTTACAATTTAACATTTTTTGATATCTCTTATGGCTTTCAAATAAAACAGCTGGCATACTTATATCAGTCACCCTGTATATGTTGCCCAAATATGGCATATTTATTTATTTCACTCTATACATTTGGCAGAAAATTTATTTTTAGTAGCAAACCTAATTACTTCTCAAATCATAAATCTGTTATTTAAATCATGTTTTTAAAATGGGAAATAAATATGTCTTGTTGATGGAAATATTTTAGTAGGAACCACTATTCTCCAAATCTACTACAGTATTTTCTCAAAATTAGTATTTTTATGTTTTGAATTTAGGAGATTTTCTGCAGAATTTGATTTTGTCAATTTCTTGTTTTTCCAATTGTATGCTTGTATGTGTTCATTATTGAATCTGACTTTAAAATGTTGATAGATTTGTCCAATGTAGCTGTCACAGTCAGTAGGTTTGTTGATTTTACTGTCTAGAAAGGTTTTTCTTTGAAGAACAACAATGGAATTAATAAGCTGTATGTATGGCAGAGCCAGTGGCGTAACTACGGGGAGGATGAGGGGGTAGAACCCCCCCAAAGGAAAAAAAAACTGAATTACCTACTCCATAATTAACATTGTTCACAGAGGGTGGATCAGGAATTAATTGTTGCGGGTAGTTTTATAATCTTTGCGAATAAAATCGGGGATTTCCAGTGGCAATTACGTGGAAAGTCATCATATTAGGTTGGCAACACTGCCGCTCATGCGCTGTAAGTTCCCGCTCAGTCTTTGCTTGTCGCCTGTGTTCTGTGTGTTCCTTCCATGTTACTTGTTATTCAGTGATGATGTGTTCACAATGTCTAAGAGGAAAGCATCAACATAGCAAAGCTTAATAACAGATTTGTTTAGAAAGCGTATGGTAACTAAAACTGAGCATACTGAAAGTGATGACAGTTCCTGATAACAAACCATAACATTCTGCCTTGCTTACTTTGCGACGACGCGTGGTGTAGGGGCGGGTGGGGGAGGGGCATGGTGGAAGGAAAAAACATAGGTGTGCTATTCCCACATATTTTGACGTCACTCGGATTGCAAACAAAAGATCACCTGATTGTAACTGTCAAATTAGTATATGTATTTGTTTTGATTTGGTCAAATCAAAACAAATACATACTAATTTGACAGTTACAATCAGGTGATCTTTTGTTTGCAATCCGAGTGACGTCAAAATATGTGGGAATAGCACACCTATGTTTTTTCCTTCCACCAGTGGCGGCGATTAGAACCCGCGGGCCCCCCCGCAAGTTTGTTCGCCGGGCCCCCCTCTCCCAATGATCTTTATAAAATCATTTTCCCATGTATTACCGCCTAAACTTGCAATTTTGCAATAAACTTGACAAGGCATCTCCCGAGGCGTCATTATCGTCTTCCACGATCGCGGCAAAATCGTAAATACTTCCCGTAGTCATAAGTCATGGAAGAAACATTATCAGAGTTTACCGTGATTGCAAATGCAACCAAACCTATGACATCATTAGATAGCAGCATCATCGTCTTCCGCGTTCACGGCCCAATCTAATATCACGGCCTAATATCTCCCCGCGCCCCGTCGGTGGTGACGGGTAAATCATTTTTCCGTAATCGCGGCTAAATCTTAGATATATCTCTCGCTTAAAAAGAAACGTCATTATCGTCTTCCGCAATCGCGGTAAAATATTGAACATCTGCTGCTGCGGAGACATCGTCATCGTCACCCGCGGGGAAATGTTCTCGTCGATATCCGCGATCGCGGCAAAAGTGTAGGCCTAATATTTCAGTTTCGTGAGCGTGATCCTCACGGATATAAAAGCTTTTACTTTTAATTGTGCATTATTGTATTGAATACTGAGAAAATCGGCTCGAGCTTGATTTTCTGACTTTGTGCTTGATCTCTCAAGCTTGTAGTCCAGGCTCTGCTCGGCTCGAAAATCGACATTATAGGCCTATTATAAAAATCAACCGTTTCCAAAGCAACCCGATCTTGAACGCACTAAAAATGTTACTAAGGGCCTCTAAGGGTTACTAAGGGCCTAAGGGGTGCCGGTTGCCTGTTTAAAGGTTTTCAGCACTCAACGTGTTAAGCCTGTGGTTACATTGGCTATACTCTTGGAAAAAATCAACTCAATTGGTCAAGTAGTTTTCCCATTATTGACATACTCCCTCCAAACATTCATATCTATAATATTAGTACCTTCCAAGTCATTGTTTTAAATTGATTGTATTGATTGTTTTAAGTTATGTTTATGTTTTTAATTTAATGAACAATTTTTGGTATTATGTGAATAGGGTGATTTTATTTTTTAAGTGCATGATTTATAAACTTATTGACTTAGCCTGCACAAAATATTATAACAAAAATATTGTGTTGGTTTTCCTCCAAAGAGGTTTCTGGGAAACAGATTAGCGTATTCATAATTTTAGTTCATTACTGATCAATGACTAAAAAAACACTTGACTTGATCAGTAATGAACTAAAATTATGAATACGCTAATCTGTTTCCCAGAAGTCTCTTTGGAGGAAAACCAACACAATATTTTTGTTATAATATTTTGTGCAGGCTAAGTCAATAAGTTTATAAATCATGCACTTAAAAAATAAAATCACCCTATTCACATAATACCAAAAATTGTTCATTAAATTTAAAACATAAACATAACTTAAAACAATCCTAATTTGACAGTTCTCATTGTGTATCACAACTTGTTGCTGCTTAGTTCATTTGAATATTGCAGAAACCCCATAACCAACATTTTTTCGCAGTTGTGTGATTTCTGAACCAAATTATGTATTTCAATTAATATACTAGCACTAGGCTTAAGTCAAAATTGAAAAAAATATTGGAAATAGGGTTTCTGCAATTAACGATTCAAATTAGCTGTTGTCATACATTCTAACAAAAAAGGATGCATTGCACGACGTCCAAGTGCCACGACATCCAATAATATTATACAGTGTCACGACGACCAAAATATAATTTTTGAGCTGTTGCATGACGTCCAATATAAAATATTTGACTGTTGCACGATGTCCAAGTGCCACGACGTCCAAACGTACAGTAACTGCAAAAAATATAGTCTTTCTACAAGCATTGGACGTCATGGAATTGGTCGTTGTGTAACAGTACACTTTATATTCTTTGAAAAAAGTAACAGTTGCACAACGTCCAAAGCCCCTGCTATGCCTGTTGCTCGACGTCCAATAGCTCAGCGCTGTTGCATGACGTCCAAAGCGCATGCACACTGTGAGTACTGTTTTTACCGTCTTTATTGGATAGTAACCTAACCTAACCTAACTTAACCTAATCTATCCATGCTCCGTATGCAGGAGCTTTGGGTTTCATGCAACAGCGCTGAGTTATTGGACGTCGTGCAACTCGCTTAACATCATAGAACAAACTTGTTTAAGTGAAACAGCTGTTAAGATTCATTAATTCCTTTTAAATATGAATACTCATAAGGTTAACATGGGAAACTCCAGAGCTACTGGGGCGGAGCCCGATAGTCCAATCAGAATAAAAACTACTTCATCATTTTAATGCCTAAAGAATCAGTGTACCAAATTTCAACCTCCTAGGTAAATGGGAAGTAAGAGAATTAGTGATGAATGAGTCAGTCAGTCAGTGAGGGCTTTGCATGTTATAGGTAGGTATAGATCAAGTTAAAAGTGTTATTTTTGTTCTGTAGCTTAGTTTGATGGAGTGCGTTTGAATGTTTTCCTTATTGCTTGGGATTTTGTTGCACATAAATTTCATTTCTTCTTTTTATTTTGAACCGTCTTTAAAATTTATATCAATACCGGTAACTAAATTTTAGTTTGTTAGAACTTTAATAGTTTTAGGTTGATGTAATTAACATGATGAAGTAGTTGGTATTTTAGCAATCAGTAGGCGTAAAATTGCATTTCATATCATATAAACTAATCATTCTATAACTTTATAATAGGGGATTGCAATTTTCACTTGTAAACTTTAATTTTAACGCTTTTACGTGTTATCTATACTACTTTAATTAAGATATAAGAGGATTATTTATTGTTGTACAAAATTGAATTACGGTTTTAAAATTTATTTAAGTAAAAATAACTATGATGTAACTATGTAAATGTGAATAACTATTTGTAATTAGATCTAAATTGGTTTTCCAATGTTTTATAGAATACTTCTTTATAAATTAGAGAGTTGTTATTATCTCAGCGGTTAAATGTTTATGGTCTGTAATAAAATCATTTATTGCAAATTATAAAATGTGTCTGTTTATGATATTGTTTTAAATATTACGCCCAATTAACCACAATCGAGCGGTCACTGTAATAATTTATATTATATTCATATAAAAGTATCTATTTACATTATTCACTAGCTTTAAATGTGGTTTTAGTTTAGAATGTCGGTAACACAGCACGTGCGAGACAACATACAGCGTTTAACCCACGACGTCCCGCACAATATATCGTGCACCATCTAAAACGGTTTTATATACGCGACTGCTAATCTCATTAAATTACTTCATATATGTTAAAACATACACATGATTAGTCTAGGATAAAGTGAGATGATCTGAGAAGTTTTGTCACTGACTTTTGCAAACTGCAGATCACTATCAGCCAGAATCATTTATTATTCCACAAAACAACTTTCTTTACAATGGTTTTACGTTTTACCTCCTTCTTTTCTCACATCAAAGATCAATTATGTATATTTTTTTAAAACTTACTGCAAAGTTGCTCTTATCTTCATTTTTTGTTATTATCGTCATGCAATCAATGAGCTTGAGTGCAAATGCATTCTTGGTGTTGATTTTCTGAAAAATAACAAAAATAGTTAGGGCCTATTTAAAAACTACATTTTCAAGATTATGAAAAAAACTCTGAAGACAATGTCAAATAAGTTCAAAGCGACTGGTGGTTCTCCATAACCCGACACTCATGTGACTGGAAGAGTGTTGGCCTATAAAAATATCTAACGGAAATATTACTAAATGTAACCTAGAAGTCAACTTATGAAAGATAATCATGCTCTCTTTACTTATTGAGTGTTCAAATTAATCATTTCAGGTTTTGTATTTTAAAATAAACAATGTTAACTGATTACAAAAAACTACTTTTTGATTTCAATTTACATCCCTCGCTTACCTTGTGTGCATGAATATCGTTTAGTATAACTTTTATTCTAAATTCAATTAGGAAAACCTGTATTACTTAAGCTACAAGGTGAAAAATAAGGCATCAAGACAAAACGGTAAAAAGGCACAAGACTTGTGTACAAGACGCGAATAAAATTCCAGTGTTGTACAGATATCAACTGTTGACACAATTATTGCACTGTCGGTTTACCGAGTTTGTCAGACTATAAAGAGTCAACTGTATATACAAACATGACTAATAAGAAGGCTCAAGACTTGCTCTATATGTAAGATCTAGGTAAAAAACCTAAAGGTAGCAAATGTCAAGAAAATAAGTTCAAAGTTATCTGCTTGAACATTTAATTCACTGGTAAAATTAAAACAGTCTATCTCTTTGGCTGATGGGCCAGAAGACATTGAACATTAAACATTGAGAGTAGAAATCCTGTCTCGGTTGTCAATTCAATTCAATTCAATATTTCTTTATTCATTTAAGCACAAAGTACATGAATAGTGTCATTCTCTTACATGTTTTTATATCACAATGTTCTTACATTCTATAGATACAAAGTTCTTAAAATCTAACATAAGTTTATACAAATTAAAAATTAAAGCTCCTTCTAAAATTTTAAAGTTTATCAAGGGAATACAATACCTTGTTGATGAGAAATGTTTTAAGACCCCTCTTAAATCCCACCATGCTTTTTGCCGATTTAATTTCATTTGGAATTTTGTTGTAAAATTTGGAGCCGGTATAACTTGGTTTTTTACTGTAAAGTTCTAATCTGTGGCGGTTTAGAGCAATGTTGGTTTTGTTTCTGGTATTGTAGTGGTGGTGTTCACCAGTTAACGCCAATTGATAAAATCTGTTTTTAACATATAGAACTGTTTCATAGATGTACAATCCATATACTGTCATTTAAAAAAAAAAATGCTCTTTTGAAGTTCTCGAGTCAAGGTCCAAAATAATTCTTATAGCTTGTTTTTTGTAATTTTAGGATTGTTTCTAAGTTATTGATAGATGTAGCGCCATACAGAGATATTCCAAAAGAAATACCAGAATGTATGTACGAAAAGTATATTGATTTTAATGTTACTTGATCAAGAAGATTTTTTAATCTAGATAATGCAAATAGACTAGATACAGTTTTTTTAATTACTTTGTTTGCGTGAGAATTCCAAGTTAAATTTTTGTCAATTTCAAATCCTAAGAATCTAATATTTTCTAATTCTTTAATAGGTTTCTGATTAATTTCTAGTGAAGGATTAATTGAAAGTCTTGTCTGACGGGTCTCAAAATTTATGAACTTTGTTTTATCTGGATTCAAAAGTAACTGATTGTTTTGGAAAAAATTTGAAAGTATATCTAGATTATTATTAGCTGTCTTTTCAATTTCCTCTTCAGAATTAGCGGTAACTGTAAGATTTACATAGTCTGCATAAAGGTAAAGTTTGCTAGATTAAGTCAGCCCTGGTAGGTTTGTAACATAGCAAATGAATAGAAGGGGGCCCAAGATGGATCCCTGTGGTACACCAGGTTTAATAGTTCTAATTTTTGACTTATGAGTAATTTTCATTTGATTATTGAATTGGATAGTTTCTACAAATTGTTTTCTATTACAAATGTAAGATTCTAGCCATTGAAGAGATTTATTTTTTATTCCGATGCTAGACAATTTAATTAAAAGTAGATTGTGGTTTATAGAGTCAAATGCCTTGGTTAAATCCATGAAAATACCAAGAGCCTTTTGTTTTGCACCTAAACAATCAATAACTGACTCTAAAAACTCTGTAGCAGCGTATACGTATATACACTGTGTAAAATAAGTATTGAAACAAATCTGTATTTTTTAAACCGAAATAGATAGAAATATTCTGTTTAAGTGGCATTGATTTTAACAAAGGATCCACAATTTTTTACATCAAAAATATTTTACAACCACCCTAAAAGGGTAGGGGTTAGGGGGGACTTTTTTTCAAAGAGCAGCCCTTATTGAGTTACCCCTCATTTTTAAAGGTTTGTCAAGACATAAGCAATGGTGCAAATCCGAAGTCAATATGTCACCCCTAGCCAAATTAGAAGGTATCTAAACATTTGATTTTGTGAAATGGGAGCTTTACTGTACACCCAATCAAATTTTTAAATACCTTCCATTTTGGCTGGGGATGACATATCGACAGAGGATTACCCACGAAACATATACGTTAACGTTAACATTCAACACACAATTGGGGACCGTCCTGGTCTCTGAGTTTCCTCGATTGCCTGTCGATCAATCACAGGCCTGGGAATTGGGCGTTGGTGACTGGGCAACTGTGGTCAGCTGATCAAGTTGTTTCGCATGGGGATTTGAATTTGAAGTTATTCTTTTAAATTCGGTACACCACAAAATTTACATATAACCTACTTAAAAAAGAGAATCGTGAAAACATTACAAAATCCAACTAGAATATATCTTTAAGGCTTTAAATGTTTACTTACGTTTTCTGTGCTAAGTTGGAGGCATTGAGTCACATGCTCATTCATTTGCTCCTCTGTCATAGTTGTAATTATGGAGACATCAGGCTCATCTTCGTTGGCTCTGTTAGAACTTTTATTTACAGATTTTTCATTTTCAGCAATAGATTTCTCCTTTTCTTCATTGAGTTCGGTGCAGTCATCATTCTAAAGATTAATGTCAAAAGTTAGTACAAACCATTGGTTTTTGTTTTGATATAGGGTTAATGTTAATTTTGTTGTTTAGGATAGTGAACAAGCCTGGATTATCCAATCTTTGGTTATCCGATCCTTTCTGGGGACATTCTAGTTATAAGAAATCAAAAACTATTCCTGTATGATATGACTGTACAACGTGGCGGATGTTTCGCTGCTCCTGTCTGACAGGGGCTGTTACAAATACCCTATTGTAAAGGCTGCATACCTAACAGTGCATCAACTCATAATACCTCCACACCTTAATGGCTGAGATGTTGAATGAGCTTTATCTATGGTTTTAAATATTATTTTCTTTTTTTAACCGACCTTTCTGTAGCCATTTGAAGTCAAATACTCAACGTTTCTGTGGGCTTTGTTAACAAACAGATTTGTGTCTTGGGAATTTCAAAATGATCGTGTTAACATTTTCTATAAAATAATAATAACTGTGAATTACAAAAGTACCTTACCAATCTGCTAGTAACCAGAATTAGTTGAGAACAAAATAAGGGGCAATTGAATCTAGTTAAAAGTAACCGACCATTGAAGAGTAAGTTAGTCATCTCTAGGTTGAAGATTATCATTCATTAGAAATCCTGTTCCTAAGTATTGCAGGAAGTTTTTAATTGATTTTGGTCTTAAATCCTTTATAATGGTCCTTATGTTTATCTGAAATTTCAACTAGAGACTCAATATGAAATAAAAGAGGAATTCAAACAACAATAGTAGCCTAAAGGTGTTCTAATTTGAGCACAATTAGTATAGGTAGTATAGGCTACAGCTGAGTGTACCTCTTAACCAAAATGATTGGTGAGGGGGGAAGCGGTAGTTTTGGATAAGCTAAACTTTAAACTGATGAGGATAAAGCAATAGTTTCGCAGAAATAGATCTACCGTACATGTTAAGAGCAGCTATAAGGTAATATGTCTATCTGTAACAAATTATCTTCTTAAGTTGTCAATTTTTGGATTGATTGGCCTAAACTTACCTAAAAACCATTTATTACAGTAAGATTTATAATCATCAATCAACTAATGATATTTACCAAAGGGAGATTGGATGATTCAATTGACAATTTTCTTAGCGATAATTTTTTCTTCCCGCGACTTGGGGTGTTATTTCTTGGAGAAGAAATGTTCAATGTAGAATGTTTAAACGATGTTGACGGTTCTGCATCAAGAAAACAGCTCTCGCTACTCTCTACTGGTATATCAGGCCTTGATGTGCCTTGCTTTTCTCCTGGCTTTTTCTGATTTCCTGAAGAAGCCATGGTTTCTGAAAGTTTATAAAAAAAAATTACTATAAATTGCCATTAAAACTAAGATATGATTGCCATTGGCTAAGGAAATCATAAATACTGCTTTACATTACTTAAATAACTTATACTGATACAAACCTACCAACTTAGTCAGCTGTGTAAACTATGAGTGAAGATTCAAATAGTTGCAGGTGATTCGTGACCTTGTAATTATTTAATATTATTTTAAAAAATATTTTGTTTGTTTGTTTTAAAGTCATAATGTTAACATAGGCTAAGTTAGTTTTGTTGCTGTGAAATTAAGATAGAAAGATTTTAAGTTTGCATTAAACAATGACTATCCATCATATCAGGTTTAATTAAGACTTAAGATCAGCATAATGGGCCTAGTCAAGCAGACAGTAGATCAGTAGACAGTACATGACAAAATTTTCTCTCTCAGGTAGGCTATGTGGCAAGGTATAGGCTACCTTATGTTTGAAAAATGTACAACAGGAGAGAATAGCACTAGCTAGTACATGCAAAGAACTATAGAGTAGGTTTGTTTAAGGCATCAAACTTGTAATAGTCGTCACATAACTGTGTTGGTATCAACGATGTATATAATTACTACTGGATTGCGCTCTCGGTGACGTAACGGGAACTATTTGATATACTACCACTCATCAGGGGCAGGAGCTAACGTTGTTTATGCACTCCATAATAAAATGTATTATTAAGTTATATGTCTGTTCCTCCATTGATATAAATCGGGTTAACGATTTTATGGTAAATTTTAAACAGCATTACAGTTCATAAATTGATGTCTCTAAACCATTTTGCAGAAAAACTACCTTACTTAAAACTCTCAAACACACAACAAAAAAAAAACCCAAATTTTGACATTTTGCCAACCACTCTAAATAATTAATTGTAAATTTATTGACTAGGTTTTCTTTTATTTATGTAGCTTAAGTTTAACTGACTATTTAAGGACGAAAAAAAATAATTTTTAGGCCTATCCTTCCAAGATATTTGTATTTAAGAAAAAGGACATTCTAGGCCTACATTACTTTTAAAACCTCTTTATTACACATGAGTTACAACTTGTTAAGTTAAATAGTATCCCAATTTGTAAGACGCAAGATGTTGCCAAGCTGCAAAAGAAAAGAGTATGTTATAAATCCGAGAACGCCAAATGCCTGAGACCAAAACTGAAGAAATTATAAAACTAATTCTCTTAACAAATATTTAAGGTGTAATGTCTGGTGTCTTTACTTCAATAAAATAAAAATGAGTGAATTTTGAATGAATTACAGTGTATTTAATGATTATTCGATCTCACTGTATTAAGATTGTTATTTTAACTGCAGTATGGGATCAACAATTATCATTGTTGATTGATTGGTCAAAAACATCAAATTCAGGTTTTATTAAAGTGTTTTAGGCTATTTACGGAATTTCAAGAGCACCCTTTATTTGGAAAAGAGCACAACGGCATAATGACTGTATTTAGCTATTATATCTATCAATGTATATTATATACTGTCCAAAATTCAAAAAATGTCTCACTGGTAGGGGATTCTCATCAATACTGTACCAGAAACAGAAATAACTATGCAACACCTTCCCATAGATTAAGATTTTTTGAAAAAAAAAAAAAAACCAATGTATATGGGTATAAAATGTTACAATGCTCTTCCAACAAAATTAAAGGACTATACAAAAACTACAAAATTTAAAAATAAGCTAAAAATGTACTTTTTAACTAAACCCCTGTACTCAAAGAATGAATATTTCCTTCTACATAATATATTAGAATAAGAACATTTTCAATAGTTATTATGTCTTGTACTTTTTTAGGATTAAGTATTATGATTTTGATCCAATGTAATGACGCCATTCGTGCACATGTTTGCAAATTATGAATAAAGTTGATTTCATTTCAACGACCTAGGCTGCATTAATTGTTTCCTATATTAATGTATATCCAGGAACCAGCAATTTTTAAACTCTCTATCTTTACATCTTCAGGCCAAAAGCCAAATAAAGGTTTTATAATGGGTAGTGCATGGGCTGCTGCGCCTTCTGACACTGAGGAGTGTGGGAGACCTGGACCTCCCCCCCCCCCCCCCCCACGACTGAACGCTTCACCACTCCCTCATCCCACAAGGGTAGGCCTACTTGAGGCCCTACGCAAAATTAACCCGAGCAGCCCCTGGGTCACTAGCGATCGCAGAGAAGTCGTGAACATCTATTGTGATCATGGGAACATCATCATCGTTACCAGCGATCGCAGTTTTGTTGTACAATACCCCTGTGGGCATCCCTTTTGCTTGCAACCCTAGCAGTAAATCCGGGATTGCAGAGTCAGCACCGGTAAACATTTTATATTAATTTAAGGTGTAAATTGCAGGCTTTTGAATATTTAATTATAAAATAAATTTAATAACAAATAATAATTAGCGATGTGCGATCACATTTTTAAGGTCAGTATCAGCTGGCTAACTGATCCTGATTAAAATCAAATCTCTGTATCGGTAGCATCCCCTAGCTACAGTAGTGTCGATTGTCCCAAGCCTGTTCATCTAAAACGTCGCTGAAAGGGTGATAGCTGGTGTGAGAGACAATCAAAAGTGTTGCCTAATTGCAAGATATGGTCATGGATGTTGTTATAATTGTGGAGCTCAGCTTCCACAACCTGAGGTACCCAATGTCCCGCCAAGAAGACACTCTCGAACTTAAGACCGCTCGCGCATGCGCGGCGAGCACGTGAGCTCAGTGGAGGAAGCCAGGACGCGGTCTTGGTGTTGGTGATCCCAATGATGATGGAAGTGTCGTGGTAGGACTCCGGGTACAGGGGGCAAGGCCCCAACGAGTGGTATGGTGTTAGATATTTAATTAGTCTAAATTTCGTTAATTATTATTTCCAGATTCTGTAGTCAAAATTGCTTATTTTATTTCTAGCATCACGTTTCAATTTCAATATTTGCTCAAATGTTAGATCACGTTGTGTCCAGTTGACTGATTAATAATTGTTGCATACATTATGCTATTTCTGTAGATAAAATGGTTCATTAGTATTAATAATCATCAAAGCTGGCTCTTTGGGCCTATGGTTAGCGGTAAATTGTCTCCTCTGGTTACATAAAAGGGTCCAGTTGTCGTTTCCTACACGAACTTCTTGGTCGTTGTAGTCAATCGAATTACCACAATCACCAAAATGTGGCTAAAATACTCAGTGGGACTCTCCAGTGAGCGTTTTTTGCAACTTTTTTATATGGTCCATGATGAACACATCCAACCCCGTGGACAACTTTTGTCTTTAAATTAAGCTAGCCTAATTAGATATTTTTGTAAAGTCTAGGTTAGGCTATATATATTTTATTATGATAATTCTCTTGTCCATGAAGACATTGTCATTGTTTCCTGCGGTCGAGCAGTAAAATCCTGAATCTAATTCCCCCTGGTAACTGAAACATTACCTCTACGATTACCTCTGCGATCTTGGCAAAATTCTGATCATCTCCCACGGCCATGTTGACATGATCATCGCCTCCCTCGGTCTCGGAAACATCATCGCCGTCTTGCGCGATGGCGCTAAAAGAGGTAATTTTCCAATCGTGCGATCCTTGCAAAAGTGTCTGATATCGGTATCAGAATACACACTTATGACAATCGATTTTTGATACAGATACCAATGTCCAAGTATCGGTGGTATCGAGATTTGGTATCAAGAATCAACACATCCCTAATAAATATATAATATCAATAAATATCAGGGGAGGGGGCCTCCCTAGATTGTAATGGTCAGATTTTATTAGGGGTTCGTTTTCATTATCTTAAGGCCGCGAAGACTAGGCTTGTCATGTCAAGTGTCCTAGTTCGTGACTCGGCCGTCACCACCCCATAGCGCTGTCGTAGTGGTGGTGGGGAGGAGCCGAGACCCGGAGACAGCAGAAAGGTTTTTGGGCAGTCGATGGCGAGCGCATGTTCGCTGAACACCTCTCCCGAGAATATACGGCGGACCTGCTGCGAGCGTTAAGGCGTATAGATGCGATTCGCAACAAGCGAGATAAGAATGAAGCAATAATATTAAGGGAACTAAGTATCGACTGACGTACTGCATTATATCCTTATAGTACTAATCATATTTTCCCGTTTTACTTTGGCGAGTAAAGATTATTTTTTTTTACAATGATCTTAGGGGTAAGAGATTTGCTTATTGTATTTCTCAGGCCGGCACTGCAAGTGCAGTGCCGCAGTAGCCTACACCTTTTAGTTTATTTATCTAAAATGGTTTTATTTTATTTTATCTAAAAGTATTTTATTTAGTTATTTCGAAGCCAAGAAGTTCATTGGCATATTAGCACTGACTCATTTCATTTTGTTATTTTATTATTGCGTGTTACGACATTTTAGTTCACTACGAGAATATTATTTTTAGTTTTTATTTGAGAAGCGATTCCTTTTGTTAGGCCTAGAAGCAGGTCAAGTACTTTAGTTCATTCAGTAAGCAGCATATTTAGTGCCGTCTTATTTCTAGTCAGTGCGTCGTTGTGCTGACATACAACTATAGTGTACCTGTGCGTGTAAGACGACGAAGGTATATTTACAAGATCGAGAAGCAGTTAGCGAGCGACGGGGACTGTTAGCTAGAACCTTGGACTACTCTCGAGCTGTCCGAGCAAATCAGAGGTAAGTTTAGGATAGGACCCTACCCGAACTAAACACCTCACAAGATACGCCACTGCCTCTGCTATTAACTTTTCCACATCCATCAAATTCATGTACAAAAAGCAATAACTAAACAAATCAACCAACAAAATAGCCCCCATAACTTAAACAGACGCGAATGTGTCGTTTTAGGGCCGGACTACATGAGCGTATGAAACGCCGCCAAAAATATGCGCAAAATGTCTAGGACTAGGCGTATAGAACGCCGCCGACAGTCCTCCCCCAATGTGATTGCATTTGGACCGTTCCAATATGGAAACGATACTGTACAGGTCGGATGTGTAGGTAGCTGGTATGCTGTTAAGAAGAAACGTTGTGCAAAGATGTGTTCACACCAAACATTATCAAGTTGTTAAGTAACAGGGCAGTTTCAAGTAATGTTTTTCATAGAATGTACTCAGACATTTTTTTTTCAGCAAAACAAATACAAATATTGAGACACAAAAACAATCAGACGACTCCAATTACAACAAGTAGTTCAGAATTGGACTTTCCAAAGTGATGGGAGGGATGTATCACACAACGCGCAGGAAAAATGCTAGTTGCGCTACGTGTAGTCCGGCGAGCCGACGATCTGCCCGCGTATTTTACGCATCCGATCGTAATAAAAATTACATATTCTTGTTCAGGAGGAAATTCCGCACAATTTGAGTACCCACAACATGGGTTTTGAGCAAAAAAAGATTTTTCCTGTTTTTCCCATTTTCCGGGAAAACAGGACGTTTCCGCAAAAAATTAATATTATTTTTTGAATCAGCACTAAAAAACGAACATTTTGAGAAAAAAATATTTTTTTTTAAAGGGTTAACTGGAGGTCGATAGTTTTACCGTTTAGTTGACTCGAGTCAAGACCCAACTTGGGTCATTTCATTCAAAACTAACTTAAGAGTTTTAACAAACTCGAACGGTGATTGCCAAACCTACACAAACTCGGAACGTAACGAGTCAAACTCGCAAAACTTAAACGCTATTGGCTCACAGTGAGTCAAGGATCCGAAATCATACGGAGGAACCCGAGCCTATACAAACTTGAAACGTAACGAGTTGACTCGCGAAACTTGACTTAAACGCTAACTTAATGGCTGAATGCAAGTTGAGCTGACTCGCCAAACTATAACCCTATTGGCTGCATTGCGAGTCGACCCAAACTTGACGGATGAAAGCCAATGTTTCACGATGATACAGAGTGGAGTCTGACTCGAGTTGACATAAGTTTAGTCGTGAGTCAGTCAAGGATATACTTGACTCGTCACATCACTAAACCTAACCTTTTGGACCTCATTAACTTCAGAAATGTTAGCCAACACATAACTTGGCCTAACTTAAATATTCATAAGTAGGCCTGACTTAAGTTAGTTTTTTGACAAAATCTAGCCTATTTGGTCAACACTGGTCAGCGATGGATTCATTGTATAAAGGTATTGGTTGGTAATTTGCTTCAATTTGCTGTTGGACAGACCCAGGCATAAGTTACCTACCTAGGCTAGGCCTAGTTGAAACTAAGTACTTGTGCCTTAACATGGTTGAATCATTGGCGTTAGTCAATTAACAAAATTACTTAACTTAAGTTAATGGTAGCCAACTGAATAAAATTAGGCAATATTGTTGATAAGCTTGCCAATTTACAATAAGTAATAGGCCAACACACACAACATTATTAGTATTGCGTTATTACTAGGCCTACAGGAGGGACTATGATTTCAATCCAATTAACTCAAGTAGGCCTAGACCTTGTTAAAATAAGCCCAATATTTTACCTTTCTTTCCCAAGAAGAAGATTTATTTGTCGAAACAACGAAAAACCAGCAAAACTGAGACTGATATGTTGTAGTTCTTCGATGATCGGTGGTTCTAGTTCACTGAAGTACGGTAAGGTACATAAAACAACGCTACACTAGACAGCGGGATTGCTAGGAAAATGGCGCCAACGAGAGAGCGAGAACTAGCCACTAGCGAGCCGCCCAAGCGCCAAGCCCGGGAATGGCGGGAATGATATTAGGGATAGTGAAAAGTAGTTCCCGAGTTTTGGGGTCATTAAAAGTAGTTTAAACGTTTTTTCAGAGATCCTATCGAATTAAATGAAGCTATTTGGTAAAATGTTATATTTTACGAATGAAAATGAGAACTCAACTGCATAGGTTCTTCTTCAGAACTGCGAAAGACAAATGTAAAAATGATATTGCGTCATCAGTAAAATGCAATGGCATCAGCGGATCAACACTTTCCGGCCCAGGAGACTTGGACTGGCGAGTGCCGACTTCCGATGAATTTTGACTAAGGTTGCCTAAGCCTTTGCCTAGCCCCAGCCCCAGCTCAAACTTTGCACTATGGTTTTTGGGAAACGGTATGAAATTGAAATCACACGTAAATTTAAATCTAAGCCCTACGATGGAAACGCGACTTTGGGGTCTTATTTATTTCACATGGTTACACCATTTTTACAAATAATCATCATGCAAATAAATACATGATAGCCTAATTTACAATAACACTAATTTAATGCAATGAAATAATAAATACAAAATGGTACTTGAATAAAGTTATGTAAGCATGGTATACAAGGAAATGATAATGCAAAAAACTAACAGAAAAAATAACAGGCAACAAAAACAAGCATTAAATAACAGGCAATACATACGGTTACGGGCAGTAAACACATATAATATATACAACAATATATAAGATTTATAATTTGTGCTCTAAAAACACCTTGGAAAAACTGCCGCCGGTGATGACGTCATCCGCCCCGCCACATTGAGCAAATCAGTTGAAAATGGTGTCACGATTTAGTGCTCATTTTAGTGCGACGGATGTTTTTAGAGCACAAATTATAAATCTTATATATTGTTGTAGCACAAAATGAGCACTAAATTTCTATGTATAATCATATATACACAAATAAACACCAGTATTTCCATAATATGAGTATTTCATACTCATAACATGAGTATGAAATATTTCATAATTTTATGAACATTAACATTTCATGAGTATGTTATGAAATACTCATAACAAGAGTATGTAAATAATCTTTGAGTCGAATCTTTTAAAGTCATCTGAAATTATGATTGTTATTCGTTTTAAAATAAAGCCTGTAATATTCGCAATTGCTCGAATTACGCCAATCTCAAAACAAAGAACAACGTTTCTTTTGCGTTTAAACCAAGTAAATCATTCAAACCAAGTATGCTGGGCTGAGATTGTACAATGTGCTTCCACCATGCTATAAGTCACTAAGCAAAACCAAATTTAAAGATACAATAGCTAATTTACTTATTGACAAGGCTTTTTACTTAATTGAAAATTTTTACAGAACTAAAATTTAGAATTTTTTTTATTTTAAGTGTTTAATTTTAAGTTAAAAGTTTTAATGTTAAATATTTTATGTATGGATTTAATTTTGACAATGCACCTATTCTAAATGTTATGACATGTATGGAATGTTTTGTGCAAATAAAGTATGTCTATGTCATTGAATGTTGCAGTATAACAGTACAGTAAATCAATTAAATTGTATATACTGTAGTTAACCTTTTATACCAGCTAAATAAATGTATAAAGGTCATGCGTACTACAATTGCATACTAAATCAGTTTAAATGAGGTAGGCCTATAATATGAAAATAATACGATAATACTTCATTCACATAACATCCACTAGTAAGGTATTAAATGTTTATTTAATAATATAAATGGAGTAAGTGCATTTTTTAACACAAACACGCACACTGCGCCTCTGCGATGCTAAAGGCCTTTTCACACCGGCGTACTGTACGTACAGTACGTACTGTACGCGGTCCTTTCACACCGCACAGAAACTTCCAAAACGTACACTGGTTCGTTTGCAGTCAGACAAGTAACACTGGCTGAGCACGTGGTTTTGAAGTGTTCACTGCGCATGCGCGAGCCCATGTACGCTACGTACGTTTTAGAAAAATCGCTCTCCGAGCGATTCACACAAAACCATCGCGTACGTACTGTACGTACAGTACGTTCTGTACGCGCGGTGTGAACGAGCTCATATGATAACATGGGCAGGGATTTGTTTAAAAAAAAAAACGTACCAAACGTACAGTACGTCCAGTACGCCGGTGTGAAAAGGCCTTAAAAATTCGAGCAGTAGACACAGTAAACTTAATCCATGAACCGGCAACCGGCAAGTTGCATTGGACATGTACAATGGGAAACAATGCCTTTGCGCTTCCGTTGGTAACGCAGATTTTTAGGGCTCGCTATGGCCGCTAGGAGCAGCACACTACTTGGCTAAAAATCTCCCACGCTAAACTCCATATGATGGCTGCCTATCTCTTTATATTACTTCACTTCATATATGGTATAATACATGGTTATATTCTTTAGTGGCGGGCTGAACGTGAAGTTAGCCCCACCAACAACAGGTTTTTATAATTTTTGTGTGTGTTATTGTTGAGGCACTAAATTATGGATGTTTTCATAATTTTTGCTCATTGCTCATTATGGTGGGGCCAACTTCACGCGAGTATTCACCCTCCATGCCGGGTTTCCCCAAGGTTCAGCAATCAACCCTGTTCTGTAAATTCTCTACTGTCCCCAGTTCCAAACGGCCCCACCGACACTTCCTATGGTCTCGCTGAGTTAGCTCACGACACCTTATTCTGGACCTCTCATCGACGTCATGACACCCTGGCGACCCGGCTTATCGAACTCGTAAATTAAGGGGTCATTAAAGTGTCGAGGCGAGTGGAGAAGACTACCTGACATAAGCCTATTCTCCCCAACAGTACTATACCGGGTATTTTGCTGGGAGAAAGGGGTGGTCGAGTAAAGAGGGGCGGGAGAAGGAGAGAGAGGGTGAGGAGAGTGTCTGTGGCGAGAGGAGAACACGAGAGCGTGGCCGTGTGTTGTATGCACTACAAGTAGATGCAAAGTAATTTCTAAACAGAAAACAGAGCTTCCAAGAAAGTATCTATTGATTGGCGTTTGACAATCAATACTAATGCTATAATTATCGAACATTTTTTTCGAACATATGTGTAGCCTATGAGGCGTATATATACAAAAATATTCTTACCTACAGTTGGATATTTTAGCTAGAAGCAGTTAAGGTGTGGTGGAATATCTTTGAAGATGAACCTATTTAGCTGTAGTGCGATCATGTGTTCAAATTTTGAGGTTAAATCAAAACAAACAAACTGGCATGTTGGCAATCAATAATTAAGCATTTAGAGGCCCGGTTGTATTACGGTATTACTTACGAAAGAATTGCCATTAAAGATCAAATGAAATGATTTAGTATATTTCATTGTTTAATTTATAAGAAAAAAATCTGTTTTTAGGCTACTGCATTTTATAAACCAAACTCGAATCTTGCTTCCTTGGCCTATTGTATAATGTTATCCTGTTTGTATGAGGTGAACTTATTTGATTAGTGATTGCATTAATGAATTATCAGCAATACAATTAGCTGTTAATTATAATTTAAATGGGTCAAACCGTGAGTCTATAAAGGTTCATCTCGTCATCTCAAGAGTATTTAATTCTGATCTCTAACATGAAACCCAAAAGGCGAGTTTATATTTAGATGTTAAGATATTTCAAAACTAAACGTAAATCACCATTACTGTATGTCCCAACAGTTATTTTATGTGTATCCCAGTCGCAGCAACCATATTATTCTATTAATATAATGATCGAAATTAATTAACTTACGCAAAAAGATTCAATATTTTAATACTAACTAATATAATTAACTATTATCAAAGCAACCATCACCTATAATTTGGAGAAAATAATTAAGTATCAACTTATTCATTAGCTGATTTGGAGTTAGGAATCACTTCTCTATTTCACAGTAAATATTCTATATATTGCCAAGTAGTTATATAAAAGTAGGCTAGAGTAAGTTTAAAGTATATTTAACTATTGTCAATTCCAAGAATTATTATGTCAGTTTGTTTTTTTTTACTTAACCTCAAAATTTGACAGGTCTGAACACATGATCACACTACTGCCAAATAGGTTCATCTTCAAAGACATTCCACCTTAACTGCTTCCAGCTAAAAAATCCAAATGTACTTGTTATAGGACTTTATTAAAGAACATGGGCAGCATTAGTGTATTGGCAATCGAAACATCATTATATACCGTACTGATATTATAAAGCTGTAAGTGTGTGTTCGTTCTTTGTTTGGGACTCAATCAAGAAATGACTCGAATTGGGTTGAAATTTCGCATGATCATAGCTCATTTTACCCATTAATAAATAGACTGATTATTATTCCAATAGTTATTTGTGTAACTAGTGGGCGAAGTGGCGCATTGCTGCATACGAGAGAAATGTGTACGCATGTTCCGTGGGCGAGTGTTGAAAGTTTATCGAGTGCGGCAGAGGTAGTTTGAACTCGTGTTACACATATTTTCCCAACAAATCATATAAATCATACATCTCAAACATTTTAAATTTAAAACAATAACGTAGGCCTAGTAACTAGTCCTAGGGTCTTTCAAAAATTTGTTTAGGTTAAGTTAAATCCAAACATCGAACGAAATGGGAAACGCTATGGTTCCACAGACTGCGGAACTTCCGCCATGCGGTGCGTAATTTTCCGCAGCGTAAATCTGGAGGGGTGGACTAACTGCGGAAATAACGTTGCGGAAATTCAATTTTGTCCAAACTAGCAACGAGTAGGGAACACAAATATTTACCATAAATACTATAAAATAATAGGCTATTAGGTAATATTCAGACTTTATATTTAATTGTGGTTACTTTTATTGTCAACTGATGTTAGACATAG